GTGACAAAGAGAAAAACTCTGTAATTGTGTAAGTATTTGAGGCTGTAGCATTAAGCTCTGTGCTTTTAACCCTGCAGTTATTTCACAGCATCCTTACAGAACTCAGGTTTCCTGATTTTCCAATTTTCATACACTTGGGTGTTTTGCTTGGTCATATCTTTTCAGAAGGTTATTTTTAACAGGATTGCCCGCATCTGTGGCACTGCAGAGGAGAACTTGCCAGTCCTATGATGAAGTTAAACCATCAGCCTGGAAGTGGGCTCCTGGGCTGCTGCACCACGACGCTTTCCATCTGAGAGCTACGTAGGGATAGCACGAACTGCATGCACTCCAGAATAAAAGTGATGCCTATGTTAAAAATGGTGAAAGGGGCTTTTCCAAAATGACAGAAAATAAAAAAAAAAATAAATCACATTTCAGGTCTCAGGTGACACAGCACTAAAGCGAATGCTGAGTCATTTTTATTTGTGTCTCCTTAGTTGGCCAAGTTTTCAAGGTTTCCTCATCTTTTAATAAAAGGAAACAAAATCAGAAGATATAAAGAGTGTGTCAAATATCTCCCTGTGAGAAACAGCGGGTATTCTGGGGCTTGCAGTATGGTCAGATAACAAATTAATTGGTTGCTACCAAGGTGTGGTACGTAAAGTACATCATTATCCTGTTTTAGAGTATAAACAACCACTGGTAACTTTGCCAACCCCCTTTTCTCCCTCTAAATGGAGACATACATTTACATACCCATATGTATTTATACATACTCTTTGTAGATAAGTCTCTCTTTACCAATTCATCAACACCAATAAAGTGTTTAATATGGAAAGCCTAAATGGAAAGCTTGAATAGATCCATCCCTCTTTTCATTTCCAGCTCCTCGATGAACTGAACACACGTTGAGGGCAACGTCGACGTGCCAGAAGAGGTACCCCCGTCAGGGGGCTGCCCAACTCCTCCATGGGGTCCCGCTGTTGCACGTCCCCCCTCAGCACACCCATATTCCCCCCGTACCCTCATGCCGTGGCCCCACGGCATCACCCCCACACCCCATGTTGCACCAGTACCCCACCAGCACCCCCAGCACCCTGCCGCAACCCCACGCACCTCTTCTGTGTTGGCTCCACCGAGTCCAGGCACCCTCATTGCAACAGTGGGAGAGGTGGCAACAGGAGGCTGCCAAAATTCAGCTGAGGAAGCAAATGCATGTTATTTGGAGCAATGGGAGGATGCTTGGCACTCCTGGGGACAAAGCAGAGCCCACTTCCCCCCACTTAAAGGGAGGCAAAGGAGCATTTTGAGGTGCAGGATCAGTTCCCATGCAAACATTTAAGGAAGAATTAAATGCCCTGTCAGTGCCCTGTTGATGCAGGCACAGCCCAGCTGCAGCCCTGGGGATAGTGGGGTTTTCTGGCCAGTTCCCAAGGGCCTGCAGTGGCTTTGTGGGGGCACCTGGGCACTGGCAGCATCAGAGACCCGGCCCCAGGCTGCTTTGGGGGTGCCTGCGAGAAAGGGGGTGGCCAGAGCCTCTGGGGTCACTGGTGGAGGATGAGAGGCACACGTTCCTGGCCGCATCGCCAAAACACTGGCGTCGTCATTCACAGCTCCATTTTGAAGGGAATATAAGTGACCAATGCAAACGTCCTGTTAATGCGTGACACTGAAGACCGAGGTGGTGTTGTGTCTGCCTCTCTGAGGAGAAAAGGTTTTGCTACGTCCTCACTATGTCCTCACTAATGATGTCCACAGGTTTTGGTTGCTATTGCTTTCAGTGAGCTCATTACAATAGATAGTTTCCTTCTCAAATGCAAAACACTGACATCAGAAATTACTTAACTTCAATAAATGTGTTAATAATAATTTAATCTCTTAACTGGTAAGTGGACTGAAACGCAGCAATTCCTCTGTCATGCACTTACCGTATAGAAGGGCCTAATGAGGAAAGACTGGCAAAAGAAGACGTAAAATTGAAAAGCCGCAGGGAGATGAATGTGAGATAACCAAGAGAGGAACATTTATATTCTGAGTCTTGGCTGAAGTTATTGCCCCTTCCAGGCAGATGCATTTCGCTCTTGCGCTCATGGAAAGCGCCCAAATTGGAGGTGCTGTAAGGGCAGATCTGAGTGACCGGGCCCCGAAACAGCCGCATGGTGAATCAGGCGACAAGAATCAGACCAGACAGTTCAGACTACACAAGTAAGCAAATTTATTTTAAGACAGAACAAATATTGTGGCAAACAACAATATGCAAATTCGGTTGGTAACAGGGGTAAATATCAGACTTTGTTTTCAAATAGATATAAAATATATTCAGATTTTGTTTAGTCCAAAAAGCAGCTCATGTAGGGGGCTTGGGATGGGTCTGTCCACACCATCCGACAGCCCACGGAGCCTCAAGACTGAGGGCGACTCCTCTGCCAGCCGGGCTGCATGTGCTGGCTCTGCAGAGGAGCTCCAGCTCCCCTTCATTAATTCCCTCCTTTGCTTCTGCACCCCTCCTGGTAAAAAGCCAATTCTTGCCAGAAACCCCAGCTCTTGGTGGTGGAAGAGCTCGGGCAGCAGCTGTGGTGCTCACCTACCACCTACCTACAGATGGGGTGGTCCCCAAGGTGTCTTTTTTAGGCCTGGACAAGGTTCTGGAGAACCGGCAGGGGAGCAGCTCGCTGCAGAGGAGTCGCACTAAGTCCTGGCCCCGTGCTCGCCATGGAGAAAAGGGGACGGGATTGCACACCGGAGTATAGGGGCACCTGCGAGCCAAGGGGGAGAGAGCTGCTTTCTGGAGAAGCCATCCCAAATAAAAGCACACATAGAAAACATTAGATTGTCAATGATGCTTTGAAACAAATTCAAGTTTATCATTTAGTGTGTGTGTGTTCACGTTGTACAAACAGAGGAGAAAGACTGTGAAACTTCAAGCTCTGGACAGCATGTCCTCAGTTAGTGTCCCCAGAAGCACCATCAGGTATGGGAGAGTTTAGCACCACAGAGTTGTAGGACCTAACTGATAACATGCGTCATTGGAAAACCTGGGGACATGGAGATCCGTGGGGGACATGGTACAGTCCATTAGAAACAATACAAGGCAATTTATGCGTCGTCATACAGTACAATACAGTCACTGACCCACCAACCCTTTCAGTACAGTACGGGACATGTAACACTTTGCACCCTGTTAACACTAGGGGACTAGAGGCGCTCACCTTTTCCTTTCCTTCTGGCCAATCCTGGTACCAAAACACTGAAACACGCAGGAAGGTGTAAGAGGTTTGACCCCTTCCTGACACCTGAAGCCCTGACATGCTTCACAGGGTCTGCACGTCAGGAGAGACAGGGTCCTGAAGGCCCCCAAAGCACTCCTTACCTCTGGCATAGTGAGAACAGGGTCCATTGGAAAAGTGCTAAATTACAGTACATTTGCATTTTTATATGTCAACTATTGAACAGCAAAACAGATCGTTTGAAAACAGAATCAGTATCGTACAGTAAGTTCACACTTAATTCTTCACCGTTTCTACACTTGTAACACATGCATTTTATTTCCATTAGTTTGATGCCAGTAGGACCAACATCCTTCAGAACAATGATCTAACATTAAACAAAACTCCCTAAGAAAAATATTAAGCATCACAGAAGTTCCAGAAAAACCTGTTAATCAGCATCACAATGTACTCAGATTTACATTTAGGGTTTCTCATGCCATGACTTTAAAACACCTTTTGGTTCGTATCCTGAAAATGAAACAAAATAACCCCCCCAAAATAAAAATTAAAACAAAACAAAACAAAACAAACAAACATAAAGAACAGTCAGGGAAAATAAATTCTCTACCTGTATGTATATGCACACACACACACACACATGCACATACCCGTGGAGAGGTGCATGGGTGTGTGTGCATTTGGAGACTGCTTCCTGCAATGCACGATTTGTTTGATAAACTTGACTCATTTCAAGGTCATTCGCGTGGGTCGGGAGACACTTTTGGGAAAGAGCTCTAAACTATGGAAGGAAATTAAAAAGTCTCTGTTGGGGAGAAAGAAAAAGTCAGTAAAGCATCGTCCGCGTGCCATTATGATGCGCTTCCCTTGAGCTACCTCAAACCCAAACAACTAAAAACCCCTAAAAAGAACTGTCTTCCGCTTAAAAGGTCCTTCCCAAGAACGAGGTGCTGTGCTAGGGTTTACATTCGGGCCTCATGTGTGCCATGCAGCAGAAAAAAGCTTAACTTTACCTTCCCGAAGGACAAGGTGCCAACTCGGAGGGGCAAAAAACTACACCTGCAGGAAAAAAAACACAGAGACCCGTTCCACATCCCCCTTCCTTGCCAGCTTCCTTTCCCAAAAAGGAAGGAGAGCGCTCAGCTCCCCAAGTTTTAAAGCTAGATTTGTGGGGTTCATTTGGCCGGGGGAGGAAAAGGTCTGGAATCTATGTACGTTCCCACTTCAAATCACACGATGGAGAATAGAAGAGCATAACACTTCAGGGTGCTCAGGGCTTGGTGCTTCTTAACCACCTTCGGTTCTGGCTGAATACCCAAACCCATAAAGCTCTATCGGAGATGAAAGCTTAGACTGAACCCAGGCAAAGGCAGCCCCTAAAACCAGAGCTGGTCAGGACAATACTTCACCTGCTGAAACAAGCAAAACCAATATGCCTTTTTTTATTATTATTTTATTTTATTATAGAATCATAGAATAGAATCATAGAATATCCTAAGTTGGAAGGGACCCTTAAGGATCATCAAGTCCAACTCTTGACACCGCACAGGTCTACCCAAGTTCAGACCATGTGACTAAGTGCACAGTCCAATCTCTTCTTAAATTCAGTCAGGCTCGGTGCAGTGACCACTTCCCTGGGGAGCCTGTTCCAGTGTGCAACCACTCTCTCTGTGAAGAACCCTTTCCTGATGTCCAGCCTAAACTTCCCCTGCCTCAGCTTAACTCCATTCCCGCGGGTCCTGTCGCTGGTGTTAATGGAGAAAAGGTCTCTTGCCTCTCGACACCCCCTTAATTATTATCCTCTAGAGGTTATTTCCACCAAGAGCTGCTTGCTGGCAGTGAAGGAGAAGACCTAACTTGCTTCTCTCCATCCAAATCATGCAATTGACTGCTCTGGCAGTGGGGCTTATCCACCCCATATCCACGGGGAGAAAGTCCCATCAGGAAGCACTGCCAAGGAGGGACTCGGATGGACTCCCAGCTCGTCACCAGGGATGACTGGGGCTCCAGGGGTGGATACCTCCTGGGAGGGAACGGCAGCATCCTTGCCAGCACCATTGGTGGCTGTGGAAAACCTGTGAGGGCTTTCTGAGAAGCAAAATGCTGTCACTGAGTTGAGAGGGTGTGGTTTGGGATTTCAAGGCCTGGAATGTTCTGCATCCTGAGGATCAGCAACCAGGTTGAGATCCTAGTGAATTATGACCGTCTTTGCCATTTGGGACAAACTCTACCCTGGTGATTTCTTGCTGGAGAGGGAGCTCAGGTCCCACACCAGCCATACCGAAATATTGCAGGAATTTTACAAGGATAGGGAAGCACATTGACACGGCTTCCTACCACGCGACCTGCTAAACTCCTAACAACGCTCTAGAAACCCAACAAAAAGCCCAGTGGTTATTATGCTCCATCTTCTAAATCATCTGCAAGTCTTTCACTTAAGAATACCCTTTGTAGTTTCAGCCCACAATCAATCCCAACAGCACTCTCAGTACAGGCACAATGATGGCTTTTATTGCAATGGCTTGAGCGCCGTCGCTATTGATGCCCGCACCTGCGGGCGGATTTAACTTCGCTTCCTCACGGACCCAACCTGCCAGTGCAGATCAGGTTCTCGTGCCAAACCCGAAATTATCTCCCATACACTCCTAACTCCGGTTCCGCTTCACATCCTGCCGTCCACGCAAATCCAAGTGTAAATTACATCACCTTGCACTATCCCAATCCCTTTTGAGACTTCTCCTATATCTTTGGTGTTTTTAAAAGCCATGCGCTTGGTTCTCCGGATGACCTCAAAGTTTACAACAACCACGTCTGCCTGGGTGTCAGTGATTTAGATGTTCGGTCTATTAGGTACAAAAAGCTTTGACAGTTTCATTTCCCTAACTTACAAAATCGCTAAGAGATATGGAATGGAAATCAGGCACCAGACAGCGGTCACATACACCTCGAAATTATCTTCTGATGGCCCCTAAGTAATTAACACCGCGCGTGAGAGGCTAAATGGACTGGGGAAAATAAACGTTTCGAAACTCGGTGCTAATAGTACTTACAAAAGTGCAGTGCTCAGTATAGTCAGGAACAAAGTGACTACTAGTACTTAAAGTGCTAGTTTTAAAGTTGGTTTGGTTCGGTGTCCGAAACGTGGGTAGCACGTGTGTGTGAGAGCTGGGGATGAAATCAAAACCAGACGGCACTGCGACTGTACATGCCACACCAAAAGTGCTTCAAATCACACCATCTGAGAGATGCATAATGCTACTGGTCAGCTTGTGAACACAGACAGGCAAACGACTGACACCTTTTAGGTTACGATAAAGAACAGCTCCATTAACTCCATCACCACGAACCGATTCAGAAAGCAAATGGCCACAGCTTACGAAAAAAGAAAACCAAGAGTCTCTTAGAACATTTACGAGTCTTTGCAACTATGATACTCAAAGTCTAGCAAAAGCAACCCTGGGAAGCCTGCTGCGCGGCTGCAGCAGGCCTCGCCAACGCGATCATGCAGTTTACAGAGGAGTCACGCTGCAGACTGCCTCCTTTTACACGCTATCTTACAGTTAGCCTATTTACGTATTTCTCGGTGGGTCTGTTTTTGTTTCTGAGCTTTCTGACTGTGCATCAAGCCGTCTTTTTCTCCTAACCACCCTAGCAGTGAAAGGACAAGTAGTGCAAGGACAAGACAATGAAAGCCGCCCAGTGAGCGCCGACGTTCCCAACGTCCCGTCTTCATTTCCGTGAAGCAACCCCCCCGAGGAGGACTGTGCACAAGCAGGTATCGCCTTCACACAGTCCAGCACATCCCACCACAGAGCTGTGAGGATATGAGACACGCAGGAAGGAGCCTGGGCAAGCAGGGCTCTCCCTGACAGAGGTCAGGTGCTGCCCTTTCTTCTCTCGAGACACCCAAGACATGCTTCGTGCTGGCTGCTGCTTCTTCCCTTCCAGCTGTTGGCTTTTTTGTTCCCTGCGAATGACAGTGTGGGGCTGAAAGCCCAGACAACCTAGGGCAGACCGACAAGGACCCTCGGTAAAGCGAGGGAGGTAAGAGAGGAGGAGTGGGGAGCTGGAGCAGCAGGACCTCGGGAACATAAAGGATCTGCCAGCTTGGAGAAGGATGCTGGAGGAGAGGGGAAGCGGTGGCAGCACCGTGTCACCTGTTGTCTGGCTCATCCTTGGGGTGGATAAGGAAGACTCGCAGCAGGACTCGGGCTAGGAGGGACACCTGGGGGTCTCCAGCCCAACCTCCTGCTCACAGGACCCGAGCTGCTCACCTCAGTATGGAGTAGTCCTGATACACTTAATATCTTTGCAACAGGGAAAAAATCCTTACATGCATACTGTTAATAAGGAGGCAACAGCCCTACTCACTGGAGGCAAGCTCCCAGCTCAGCCACAAGGGCACGAGGTCTGCTTTGGTCCCAGTCTGTGCCATGGACTGGAGGTAGCTCCCAGTGAGCTGGGAAATGCTCACACAGTGCCCAGTGCTCACAAAGTGCAAAGCTTTTTATGGAGAAAGCTCTTTTTGAAGCAGAAGCATCCACTTTGCAGCCAGAAGCTACTGCCTGTGTCTGGCAGTGCTTTCTGTGTTTTGCAAAACACTCCTGGGTCGTGAAAATGAGGGGAAACACAGCTTGCATCCATGGTGAGATGTTTCAGGTACAGCTGCAAACCTGTGATACTGTTTTCTGTACGTAGGTAGATGGATAATTTGCTTTCAGTAATGTTGATCTCAATGCTGGGACCAAAACTAAACATCATAGGTACTGAAAATTTGCCAGCATGAAAGGTACAGTACCGAAATTGCTCCTTTGCTCCCTCTGAATTTCTTCTCTCTTCTGACTGTAAGGATTTTTGGCAGATGATGATCACTGGATAATAAATCTAAAGCAAGGAAACTGTGTCAAATTGGAGGGCAGTTTCCAACACTGCTCTCCCAAGGTTTTCATACCGTGTTGTATTTTTACTGCCTGTGAGAGAGATCCTTACTTAGGACTGTGATTCCTGGTGATTTCGCCTCCACCGGGATGGCAGCTGCATCTGATTTCTGACAAGCAAAGCTATTCCCTGTTTTCCCCGAGACAAGCAGCAGGCGGGCTGCCTGCTGGGCCCGGCTCACCGCTAACCTGGCAGAGCAGCACCGCCGTCCTTCTGGGATCTCTGCAAGCAGGCAGGAAAGCAAACAGACTGCTGGGGCTTTTGGCACCGAGCTGGGGTGGCACAGGAGATCACGGTAGCCCATGGCCCTACCTGAGCGCCGCCCAGACCTGGATGTTAAAGGCTTGAGCAGAATCATGCTTTAGCCGGCGCGCTAGATTTTCATGCAAATTTTCTTGGCAACTTTTCCAGCCTCCAAAAACAACTCATTTGAAAGTTTATGAGAGGCAACGTTTTATTTTTGGAGGCAGAGGCTTTCGCTGCATCAAAGCCTGCAGATATTCCGTATGCCACAATTAAATGCTGATTTTCAGCGGTGAATAAAGTGATTCCCAGACACAGCACACTGCAGAGCAAAACGCGATCCAAGATTGCTCAGTACCACAGGCATAATGCAGACTGAAGACATGGGGCCATTTTTAATTATATGCAAATTATCACAACAAAAAACAGATCCCGCAGCGGAAAACCAATTCCGGGAAGAAATAATCATCCATCTTTTGTAGTCCTAGCGGTGGTGCTCGCGAAGGAGCTTATTTACAAAATGGCATTCTCCATAAAAAGGCTGCGTTATCACCTCCCAAAAAAAGACACAGATGCAGATATGTACTACTACAGCTCCCTGGATCCTGTGCCTGGAAAATTCCCGGAGGCTCTGGGATGGTGCCCGAGGAACGAGATGTGCTGAAATGAGCCCGCACCAACCTGTATGGAAGTAGCCTGATTCCAGCCCAAACGCTCTCTGCCTTCACACCGGTGCTTGGAAAGCAAATGTTACAAGCCTCAGCTACGGGAAGCTGTGTCCAGTTCAACTCATACCAGCTGTGGGTCTAATGCAACCCACTGGACCATAAAAACACTTCCAAACTCGTGCTTTGAAATGCATGCTTTTCAGCAGGAGAATCATACAGCCTTTAAATTCTGTGCAAGTGAAAAAATGCTTTCAATAAAAGCATCGGTGATGTGTAAAACGAAACAATATTCCCAAACTGCAGCTGGCTTTTACACTTCCTGCTTTTTGCAGAAATTTTACTTAAATCTGGACGAGAAGCATCTTTTTTTTTTTTTTTTTCTCTGCATGAAAATACCCACTATGTGGGATGACAACAAACGTGCCCTTTTTTTTGTGTACAGTGAAAGAAAAAAAAAAACACAACGTATGTATGGAGCCACGAACGTTCAGTCGTTCAGAAAGGGGCGAAGAAAACCAAGCAGCAGGCATGCAGAGCAGTGGGAAACAAAGAACCTGTAGCCAAAATTTCATGGTGAGACGGTTGCACAGGGACAGGGACAAATCCAGGTCACAGCCAAGAAAGCCAGTCCTGCCCTGGCAGTGGCTGCTCCTCGACCACCAGGATGCTATCCTGACCAAACAGCCAAGGCTGGATGTGCACCCAGGGGAATGATACATACAGGATGAATTCATTCATGGGGACCTTGTGGCCACAGCTACCTGGGTCCAGCACTACGAAACACGTTCCTGAGAAGCTGGGGGCAGCAGGAGACCGCTGGCACGCTGCGCTGGTGTAACCACATGCCTGCCAGCAGGAACATTGCACCACTGGGACCGCACCACGAAAGCAAAGAGTTTTATTACCACCAGTTCAGGTCCGTAATGCACGCTTACGAGTAAGGTGGAGGTTGTATGGAAATCGCTTTGCTTGTTGGGCAGTGAGGAACTGCCAGGGGAAAAGAAAGGAGGATAAGGTACAGCTGGAACAGCGTGGGGTCAGTTGGCAGAAAATCCTTTTACTTGAAATTCAACCAGGAACCAATATTTATGTATATTTTATTTTTTGTACAAAATGCCACTGCAGCTCTGACAACAGCTGGTGACCGAGGACTGCATCAAGAGCCAATGACCCCCAAAACTCAGGTTCTCACCTAGTACTGACGTCGCAGCGCTGGCGGGATGCAGGAGAGTGCGAGGAGGTCCGGGGGTCTCTCCAGGCATGGACCGAGCCCCGGGGTGGCCAGGAAGGCAGCTTACAGCTCACACCTAACCCCAACGCCGTGTGCCTGCCTGGCTCCGCAAATGCTCGCCCGGTGTAGATTCAGATGTGTTTTGTTTTCCTTAGGTTTCCATGCAATATTTTTGGCATTAAATGTCATCCCAGGATGGTTACTAAAGAACGTAAATTTCTTCCAGCAAAAATCACACCTTCAATCTAAGACCAAAAATCTGTTTATCTTTCCTGGATGTCAGAGGTGACAAAAAAGCTATTTTGGACCATCTACTAAAGCATCCTTAATATAGTTTAATGGCACTAGCTTTTTCAGCCCAAATCAGTTTACCTTCCCAGCCAATCTTCTACAAGCAGCTTAAAATTGCATCAAAGTCTATCCAGAGGAACGCTTTGTTCTGATCTCTCCTTTCCTGATATTACAACTCTTTTTTCACATTAGTATCTGCATTCATACAAAATTCAAGGGAGAGGGAGAAAATTCCTACACTGCTAAAAGAGAACTCTAGGATTTGCTAGCACCCAACTATTGATTTTTCTTCTTAAAAAATAAAAATAAATAAAAATAAATCAGCTGTTTGGCTAGAAAGCTGGGATACCTTTGGTGGAAGGTCAAAGTACTGGCAAGCATGACAGCAGAACAGGTTCCTGGAAGACTAAAATCCAGGAGAAGGCTGGTGCCTAAGCCTGAAGCAAGTGAAAAATACCCATGCTGTAGCCTCCTGCTTGTCCTCTCGTGCACAGCACCTTCAGCCTTGGCTTTGTGGAGGGGAAGAGGTTGGCACAGGGGTTGAACAGCTGCAGAGAGCAGCCCTGGGGCATGTGGCAACAGCTCAAGGGCTGCTGCAGGGTCTCAGCCTGGACAAAGAGCCAGGCTGTCACTGCAGCTGCTGTGCTCACCTCAATGCCCAAATGCTGCAGTGGCAAACCCGCCCTCAGGTGTTAACCTGGTGCACCTCTCAGGCTCTGAAAGCAAGCGTGGGCATTTTTGCTAAGTTTTTCTGCATTTTTTCCCTCCATTTTAAGAGGGAGAGGAAAAAGTGAGCTCTAGTGAGCAGTTAAAAAAAGTCCATTGCAGTAAAAAACTAAAATTAATAGAGTCTGAAAAAACCATGACACACAGACAAGTTTGGGCTTTCTGTGTCACAGAAACTTGTGGACATGGAGTCTAATGTAGCAGCACAGAGGAGGGTGAACTTCGCACTGTCGAGAGCCTACGAGGGCGAGGAGGGTGAGAGGATGCCCCAAGTCATGGTTTTTCTTCCTCATCCCGCGGCACTGAAGGGCCAGAAGAGCTGTGTCTCTCTTACCTCTTACCAATATTTAAAGACCCTGCTCCTCTAGCTTTTCTGTTCTTCTTTGTGGGGCTAACACTTTGGACATGATGACATCTCCTTTACAGCTTAGCCTGCAAAAATGACTGTTTCTATTTCCAGGTTTGGAGTTGCATTCCCTGCAGCACCTTCTCTTTTTTTTTCTTTTTTTTTCCTTCGTTTTTTTAAGTAAGACAGCCAGAAGAAACCTATCACTTGTTAACCCAAAGGGTCACCCTCCATGGTGCCGAGGGATACCTGTGCCAGTGTAAGCAGGAAATGTTGTTACTGAGCACAGGGGATGCAGGAAGCCCACGCACTGGCTGCGTGCTGGCACACTCCAATCCCAAGGACAGAAATATTCGTATGCTCTCCAGAGTGGCCGCCTTCCTCAGGTGCTAGGCAAGAGTAAGAGCCCCAGAAGACAACGAGGGAAGGCTAAATTAGTTGGGCTCCCATGGTACCCAGAACAGAGCTTTTTTTGTCCCACCTTTGCAGTTATATCATGATATCCAGTGCACGTGGGAGGTGGTCTCTTGCCTGGCTCAGGTGTCTGCAGCCAGCTGGCAGCGACTGAGGGCCTCCTGGGGCTGCGTGGCTGTTCTTTGCTCACCAGCTTGACACAATCTTGTGTTTCAGGAGCACTTGCCTCCTACTTTTTGTCCTGGTCACCAGCAGCAGGGCTGTTGGCAGAGGAACTCACAAAATGCCGTGGTGAAGGGGCAGTCTCCTGTGAACGTACAGTGCAGCTCCTCCTTTGGTCCATTCTCACCTTTTATGCTCTTGATCCCAGCCAGAATGCCTTCCCCATGCTGCCATCTCGCCCCAGGTCCCACATGCAGGCTCTGAAGGTCCCTCATCCTGGTGGCTCCCTGCCTTGCCACCCGCTGCAGCAGCCAAAGCCAGCACAGGACCAGGAGAGAGTGGACAGAAGGTTGGCAGATGCTCAGCTCTTATCTCAACGTCTTCACGCCCACTTTTCTGTGTGCTCATCCCACCTACCTGAATTTATTAACCCACACCAAACCCTCGGGCTGCTTCCCAAGCTGACGTGGAAGTGACTTGCTGTTCAGCACAGAGAAAGAAACAACTCCAATGATTCTGCGACCGATTTGAACGTCCAGGGGAAGACGAAATCCTGGCAATGTTCAGCTCAAAACACGTACTTCCAGACTGCAGCTACCTCTGTGTTCAGGGAAACAAAATTGTGGTTACGTATAACAGAGGATCGAGGCACAACATCAAGTTGTGGCAAGAAGCAATAGTTGAAGCTCACAGCAATACTTGTAGTAGACGCAGAAAGGCGCGTCCCTGGGGAAGCTGTTATATGCTGACTACAAGCAAGCTTCTGCAGGCTGGCAGTCGGGGAAGCAGGGAGTCTACAGCGAGTGCGTGATCAGATCTGCCGTAGGTAACTGCTCCGTGCAACCCTCCTCGAGATGGGAACTGGTCACAGAGGGAATGTGCAAGGGTTGCTGTATGGCTAAGTAACCATTGCTTTGCTGCGGCATGGCCAAAAAGAAGAAAATGTCAGTGTAAAGGTTGTGCTCGGAGATGAGAGGAGCGAGGTTTGGTTCACCTTGTCACACGCAGTGCCTGTTCTCGGCGCCCTAAGCACAGGGTTGAGCCAAAAAGCCTTTTTCCTAATTCTGCCGGGTTGGGGGCGTTATGGGGCCTTCGGTATTTGGAGGTTAACATAAAAACCTGGCCTATAGTCTCTGGGCTGGCAGGAAATGGGACTTCCCCCAGGCGCAGCAGGTCACTGCCACCCGCAGCAAGGGGCACACAGTGCCCGGGATGGGCCCCGCAAAAGGCTTTCTCTTGGCAGCCTTTCATATCTCAGAGAGAAAGCAAAGCGATCGCACGACAGGAGACACGCTGCGGCTTCAGAGGACTTGAAAATAAAATCACTTTTGATGATTAGGGGGAGGGGAATGGGAGATGGATGTGCTAAATTCACACTGATTGACAACATTCACTTGCCAGAGAGTAGAAAATAAGCTAAAAACACCTAAGTGGTGCAGCTGAACACAGTTTTAGAGCTAGGCCTTGCGCTTCGCTCTTCCCCTGGCGTTTAGCACTGTAAATGTGCTCCTTTTGGAGCTCACAGGACCACGGCCATCAGCCCCAAACCCCTGCTGAGGAGTGCTGTGACGTGCAGCCTCCGGCCACAGTGTGCACACCGTTTGTGTACCCACCTGTGTGGGAAGTCTAAGGGATAGCCTACAAACGGGGCCGCTCAGCACCTCCAGCTCAACCACGCCAGCGTGCTGGGAACTGCAGGCACCGCCGTGTTGGTGCCATCAGCACGGTGACCGCAAGCGTTAGGTGACATCCCGAGGCATGCGGTGTGGTGGCAATTATGCAGAGGCATTAACGAATGCTGTTGGCTTTCAAGGTGCTCAGTAGTGGGAACTCACCAAAGACAGGATATTCCTACTCACCTCGAGCACTGTGTGCGGTTCTGGGCACCACAGCACAAAAAGGACGTGAAACTGCTGGAGAGTGTCCAGAGAAGGGCTGCAAAGATGGTGAAGGGCCTAGAGGGGAAGGCGTATGAGGAGCGCTGAGGGCACTGGGCCTGTTCAGCCTGGAAAGAGGAGGCTGAGGGGAGGCCTCATGGCGGCCTACAGCTTCCTCACGAGGGGCAGTGGAGGGGCAGGCGCCGATCTGTTCTCTGTAGTGCTATCCAGTGACAGGACCCGAGGGCATGGGGTCAGGCTGTGACAGGGGAGGGTCAGGCTGGACAGCAGGAAGAGGTTCTTCACTGAGAGGGCTGTCGCGCACTGCAACAGGCTCCCCAGGGACGCAGTCACGGCACCGAGCCTGTCGGAGTTCAAGAAGCGTTGGGACTGTGCTCTTAGTCATAGCTCTGAATTTTGGGGTAGAGCTGTGTGGTGCCAGGAGTTGGACTCAATGATCCTTGTGGGTCCCTTCCAACTCAGGATATTCTGTGATTCTACTACCTGCACCCGGGTAAGACCGTGGCAGAGGACACAGCATGGCTATGTGAGACCTGTCCCTTCAAAAAGCTCTTCACAGAGCTTTCCAGATGGGTCTATCTGAAAACCCGTAACTTCATGAGAACCTAAGCCAAACTGTTGTCTGGACCATGACAGCTCATCCCCACCACAAACTCTAGCTGGGAAAAACCCTTTGAAAGATGGCAGCAGCGCAATGCTACAGCTTTCAAACTCTTCTGAGTTTATCAGCACCTCACCAAACAGACTGTCCGCAGAGGCAGCTCAGTTCTGCTGCAAATATCTGTTCTGATCAGTGCTACAAATATCCTGGGAGTGTTCAAAAATCTGGAAGAAAAAAAATGTAACTATCGTGAATGCCTCTCCACCAGAAATACATCTGTTGACTACGCAGTGAGTTTCATTTAATCCAGAGCAACTGTAAACTGCTTGCTTCTGTCTATTTTTACCGCAGCAGTCCATAATTTTACTACCAAGCATTTTACACAAGGCTTCAAAATCTATTCCCTATTCCCTCTGGGCCCCAGGCAGCTCTTCTGGCTAACGACGCATGGGGCCGGGCTGAACCTTTAGATTTGCCCAAACAAAAAAAGTAAGACAGGAGTGGGTGAGGCACTGCCTTTCTGGATCTGAAAGGCTTCTCCGTGCTCCTGCTGCTAGGTGGACAAACCGCATCCCACAATCATGTGGGAATGAGATCGCAAATCTTTACAGGAGCAATTCCAGTCTGACTCCACCTGCCTGAAAGGTGCATCCTTTTCTTGTCCCACCGTAGGAATCAGCGACACAAGGACTGACTCTCAGTTACCTCCATGGCTGGGAGATGGAGCGTGGCCCAAGAAATGGGCTAAGAAACCCATGCCCTTCACAGGGGAAAGCTCAGGGACTGGGATTCCCAGCAGCACATTGCCCACGGACATCAGGACGTCTTTCCAGCCTGGCAGATGCCAGGACAAGGGGAAGTCTAGGAATTATTTCAAGCCCTCATCATAGATTATTTCCACATTACGCACTGCAGCACAACATCACAACAACATAACTACATAATTATTGTCTAACAGGGTTTGCTGTCTGCTCTCTTGACTTCTTACATATGTCTCACGTATATGACCACGTACATACGATGTACTTACGTGACAGTGGCAGGGCTGACTACAGATCACAACACGCAATTTTAAAAACTTTTCCGCTTGTCACATTCATCAACACAAGTGCAGTACTTGAAAACTCCTTAAAACTTCATGAGATATGTGGGACAAAATGATGTTGCTACTCCTGGCAGAGATCAAGAAGCCACCAGTAAAGGTCAGGCCAGGAGACCAGAGGTGACTGGAAATGTATTTGGTGTGAGTGTAGAATAAAACGTCAATAAAATGATAGAATGCCACCTGCCCTGCCTGCTAGAGCTGGTTTGTGGTATTAAGGTCTTATAAGGGAAGGGCAGCAAAAGTTAGGAGCTACTCTGACTTTATGGGCAAACATATAGGAAACAGCCTGTGAAATTTCAGGAAAGAATGAAGCCAGATTACATTTTAGACCACATTTATCAACAGAAACTTTCTCGAGAAGCACCAGGAGAAATGACCGTGACAACTTGAGCTGTGTATTCCAAACCCCAGGCTGGGGGCTCTGTGCCTGGCGGCTGGGAAAGGCTATTGTAGCTCTAACTGCAACCAGGTTACAGTCCTAATAAATAAAACAAATAATACATAAAACAATAAAACAAGCCCTAACTAAAACAAGCCTAATAAAACAAGCCCTGCGAAATGTTCAGCACCACCATCTGGGGTGGGCTGAGGCCGCGGCTCAACCTGCCAGCCTCCATCACCCTTCCTCTGCCTGAACCCACAGGCTGCCTCGGGCTCTGCGTTTGCACTCGAAGCCCTCGGGAGGTGAGATGACCTTTCTACATCAGATAGTTCCCAGACACAGAGCAACATAGCTAAATCCTCGACATTCCTTGACCTCCCTCAGCATTTAAAGCTGGTTGAAGACTGGTGAGGAAAGCTCTCCTCCGGTGCAACGCAAGCCTTCGGTGCCAATGTCAAACCCGGCCACCCAGGAGCCTGAGAGTCCTCTGGTTTGCTCCCGGCCGCGATGCCATCAGGGCTGCTGCTGCTGGTGTGAGACGTGCTTCAGCTCACCCTGTAGGACATCATCGCCGAACAGCATGGATAATTAATTTATGTTCAAAATACCAGGGCTGCACTGGCAAATTCAGCCTTTCCCATAGGAAGAGGATGAAAGAAAGAACAACTGCGGTGTGACAGATGTTAGTCATATGCTTAAACGCGCTTCTGGAAGGCGCTCAGATACGTGTGTCAAGTGATTAGAGCAGTGCGAGAGCCTGCACGGAACGGGAGGCACTGCTTTATGGCTATACCTGCACCGAACTGTCAGATCACCTTGCAATAAAAATGTTACGAAGGAAAATCCAATTAACTTTCAACACAGATGAAGCTTCTGGGAGTTGGGAGAAAAAATTAAAACCCAGCGCTTTTCAAGCAGTTATCTCGCATCGCTGGATGGGCACTGCTCAAAGCACAGCTTGGAAAGAGATGGCGGCACAACCACATTACGACAAGCTCACGGAAAGGCTTTCTGAGCAGCCCGACACGTAGCCACTGCCCAAGAAATAAGAAGAGGTGCCTAAAACCGGTATGGAGAAAGCAGAAACAGCCCAGGTAGGAGACAGAGCTGTCTGAGAGTGAACGTCAACATTGAATATCTTGCTAAATTAAAAAAAAAAACAAACAAGTATTTCACCCATGGAGTACAAGGTATTTCCATTGCCTACTCAAAGCAGTCGCAGTTGTTTGACACTCCTGACAATGCAAGGTGATTTGCAGCCAGATTTTCAAACACCTCGAAAGGCAAAAACCCCACGGTCACACCTTTTCCATTAGAAACACTGATCTAACATTGGTTTCTTTTTCAGATCCCGACGATGAACTGATGCTCCAAATCTGTTTAAAGCAGAACGAGTTCCTTGTGTGTTGAGTCTTTAACTGCTGAAAGGATCAGGGAAAACAGAAATTTGTGTTGTTGGCCGGTTTTGCTTTGAGACCCCAATTTTTACGAAACAAATAGCAGCAATGCTAACACTACAGAAAACCAGAAGTCCCATCGATGTCAGGTGAGGAGGGAATGACAGGACACAAGCGCAAACAAAAAATGGCAGGAGAAGCAGAAGGATCACAGATGAATGCCAATTTAAAACCAAATTTTCTTAAAATTGGCAGAATTCAGGTAAATATGTTGGTAACTATTTAAATTATTGCATGATGAAAATAATGTTTTACACTGTTACGCAACAATCCCTGGGAGGTTTGGGACGCAACACAAAGCCTGTATCTCACACTAAATTGGCACAGGCAGCCACTAGGTGCATTTTTTAGTTTTGTGCCTAAACAGGTACCTTGTTAATGCTGGAGGAGACCCTTACACCTAGAGTACCCCAGTTTATTCAGTATCATTTCTCCTGACAGTTAGACCACGGGCAGCTTCTGAGGCTGGTTTGCAGGAACACATTTTTTCCTCTCCCTCACGTACTCCTGGTTAACCCAAGCCTGTGGGTGCCTACAGAGAAAGCCTACAGACAGGAACATATCTTGAGCTCGTGACCACCGAAGCAATCCAAATATAAATATTGTGAAGGTGGGGAGGGTGTCAATGAAAATAACTTTTACATTTAGGAGGAGGCCTGTTGATGGGCTATTTTTTCTATGTCCTATTCAGAAATAAGCAAAGGCATGAATGTTAGCTGGTGTTCTGCCACCCTACCATGCACAAAAAAAAAAAAAGATTGATACTGCAAGGCTTTGTGGAAAATGTGTACTGTAGTATCTTAATAGTCTGGATTTTCTAGGGCTATTAAAGAAGGGCAAGAACTACTGTTTAGACTCTGTATAGCCTGCTCAGGCTCAGAAAAAGCAGGGAGAAACAAAAGTCAGCAGATGGAAAAAATCACAGCCTCGAGGAGGAGCAGGTTATGATTTCTACAATTAGCCTGTTTAATTAGTAACACAGTCAATCTGGTGGGATGTATCAAGAGAGGTCCCGATGAGTTCTGCCTGCCCTATGTACTGCTCTCTTCCACATGTGGATGAATGATTTGATGATGGGTAAGAACCAGTTAACCTGCAAACGGTGCGTCCCTGGGAAGGACCGTGAGCTCCAGGAGGAATGGGATTAGAACTGAAACTGATCTTGACAAGGTCATGAAATAATCTGAAAAGAAACGAGATGCAACTTGGTCAAGGCAAATGCAAGCTTCAGTGTTACATCAGAAAAAAAGCTTCTGTACAGATGAAGGGTGAGAAATGAGTGCTTTTGTCTTAGCTCTGCGACCTGGGAGGATGCAGACTTACAAACAGGGCTCGAGTCAGCAAGTATGTTGTTGCAAAACCCAGCATGCTGGGTGTATAAAACCTTAAATTGTTTGTGCTCCTTCTGCTCGAGGCTGGTAAGACGGCAGCACGTGTATTTCTCCTGATTTTGGATTCTCTAATTCTGGGTTGAAGAAAGACAGACTGATCAGAAGGAGTTTAGAGAAAGCAGCAAAAATACGATGAGGGCTACAAACTACCCTTGGTGGAAGGCTCTGAATGTGCTTAGAAGAGGATGCAAAAGAGACCGGACAAGTCTTTAACTATGTAAAAGAGCTGCAAGCAAGGAAGGGAATGAACTGCTTCCATAACTCTTCTTGAGAATGTGGCCTGTAAGACAGACAGGGACAGAGGAAGATGGTAGCACAGGAAACACAGGCTAGACAGGAGGGAAAGTATCTAAGAGCAAGCAGGGTGAACCATGGAAACCATGTCTAGGGAAGATGGTGAATATCCAGCACTGGAAGTTTAAGAGAGCAGATTTTTCCACATTGTTTAACTTGGAAGAAATACAGGTGGTTTTTGTTGTGTAGACCCTGAAACATACCATCAGAGGCAGCCCCACAACAGCAAAATTGAAGCTTAACGTCAGGTTGATGCCATTCGGGACCAAAAAAAAACCCAAATCTATTTAACACCCAAGTGTCTTTTGCAAGAAGACAGTATACCAGTGTAGTTTCATACAAAACAGCAGAGAAAAAAAAAAGTTGGAAAACTGAGCAAAAGTCAGGAAGTGCCAGAATTAAGGATTTTCTGAATAACCTTAATTCTGACCTTCGGACATGTGCATAGAGAGTTTAAATCTGCAATCTCTTACGACTGTCCCTTCTCCTCTAGATTATGGATTTATTTTTGATTCACTGTTCTGTATGTACCCCAAGCCTTACCTATGTGCATCTTCCAAACACCGCAGAGGTATCTATGCAGTGTGTTGCACCCAGAATTTCGTCTTACTTTGCTTTTGGAGATCATCACTATTGACCACAAAAATGCAATGCCAAATGAACTCAACTTTCTCATACCCTGGTGAGGTAGGGAGGTATCGTTCACTCCGTTTTATCAGTGGGGAATACAGGCACAGGCAGAATAAAGCCGAAGCTACCCAGTCTCGCTACTGGGAGGCCCAGCTTGCGATGCTGATAGATTTTGCGGAGTACCTGCAGTTATTGCAGCACGTCACTTGTTCAAAGCACAGCTCTCAACAGCCACAAACACTGCCTGCTCCTGTAGAGCAGACCTCCGAGTACCTACAGCAGTGTCTGGGAACAGAAAGTCTACACCGGTGGCAATCACCTGCAAAGAGCCTTGCTAAAAATGACACAAACCCTTTCACAAAGATGGAGCAGAACGCGTTTCTGGAAAGCTGCTTTCTCAACAGGGCCGTCCTTTCTTTCCCTCTTGTTCCCTCCAACCTTCCCCGCACCTTTCTTAGGCAGCGTGAACAAGCCCTAAAGGCAGCACCACGCTCCCTCACACAGCTCCCGCTGGCTCCTGCAGCGAGAAAAGCACACGCGATGCTGCAAAAACTGAGATGGCACGAGCAACCTTTGCAGGCAACCAACGCCTGTCTGTTCCCCTACGCTTCTGCATGTACTCCTGGCCGAGCCCAGGCTCCCTCCAGCATGGTAAAAATGAAGTTACCTGAGTCTGCAAACTGGGAAAGCAGCAATGTCCTCAGCTGGATCCGCTTGGCCCTGATGGGGTCTGTCGGTGAGACTCAGCGCTTCAAGTCCACAGTGCTGCATGGTCTTGGGCTGGCAGGTGACCCAGTGGCAGGCTGTTACTGCTGGACAGATGTGCCCAAAGAGGAGCGAGACAGGGCCAAGAAGACCCAGCCTGGCCCCTGAGAGCAGAGACAGGGCTTGGGCTCCCTGCCTCTCCCCGAGTCGCTGCAGGAACACAGGCACTGGCAGTGCCACCTCTTCCCCTACTGCAGGCAGCACTCGTCGTGCTCTGTGACTCCCCAGAGCACGAATCCTGTCCTTGCTTCCCTCCACCCCCTCCTGCCTACTCATTCCTCTACCTTGGTGGGAAGCGCTCGTCTCTGCTCTCACTCCCCCTCTCCTGCTGCTTCTTGCCAACAAAATGTGCTGAGAACAACGACCAGATGGGAATACTTGCAGGAGCCTGAGGTTAACCCGTGCCTTTTATCCCACATCATCTCTGCTGTTCCGAAATGGAGATTCTATTGCATGCAATTTGTAGTGTAAAGATCTACCGTTAAGAGTGTGTTATGCTGATATTGCTTGCGAAATCTATCTCCCTGCTTGTATTGCATGTTGAACATATCGGATACTGATAACAGAACAGACGACAGCTAAAGTTTTAACGTACCAAAAGTGAAGGACCTATTGGAAACAGGAAAAAAATACTATTTTATATATTTATGCATATATATATATATATATATATAAAACACTCACCTCTCCCTTGCCTCTATGTTAAACAGTGTGTCACGTATATAAACTCACAGATGTTGTATCAGCACTGCGCCTGGTGGGGCTAGGCAGAGAGCCTTAGCTCCCACTGTCTTCCAGCAGCTGCCATGAAGGGTGATCGTTTCCTCAAATTAAATCTGTGCAGGGCAAATTATCAAGATTATAAAACAGCTAGACACAGAGTCCTTCTGCCTGCGGGAGGGCCTTGCCCTGCAGTGTCTGAGCAACCTATCTAACTAGCACATCTCTGCCCAAGAGCTCGGATGCAGGAGCTGTTGCTCCTTCCTGTTCAATACCAGTGCGTAGCACAGGGCTGAACACCTGAAAGGCAGTGTAGGTCTCTGTAAAGAATTTACAGCAGCCACTTTCTAAAGAGCTAGTGATTTCCACGTGCCGGGTGAAGCATTTCAAGGTAGCCTGTCGAGCAGGGAGATGAGCAGAAAGTCATTAGTGAGAGCTTCGTTGGGGTGGCAGCCAGGCGCCTCGACATGGGGTCAGTACTGCTGGAGACGGTACAAACACAAAACACGCACAGCACACGCAGAAATACCAGAATGTAACACCAGCGTATGGATTTCTAGAAGTTAATGGCAAGAGAAGGCCCCCCGAGGCTGCGGGTTTACGTTTCGCAGGGCACCTCGACAGGCGGCAGGAACAACCTAACCACACTCATCGCAGAAATGCCAACACGCCGGCCAAGGCCTGAAACCTTGGCACATGCTTTGACATTTCTAGAAAACCAATTCTTAATCAATGCCTCCTATGACTTTCATTAACGTTATTAAAGAAAGAAAGAAAAAAGACCTAAGATTTCTCTGCGGAAGAAGCCAGAGGCCTGGCTTCTCCCGAAGCGCCAGCAAGAAAAGCTACCTGATAATTCCTGCCATTTGTTCCCCTGCCACATCTCGTTAGGGGCACGGTGGTGGAAATGCGCCGCCGAGCTCTGCACGCTGCCTGCAACCCTCGGGAACCCTCCCAGCTCTCCGTACCCACCGACGGCACCCCGGGGAGCTCCCAGCATCTGATTTCAACACGATGCTTGAAAATAGCGTTGCCTTTGTGGAGATACAGGTGGGGAACCCGGCACGGGTATGCCAAAATATCAGGAAGAACAACTCCATTACAGTGACAACTGGTAGCACCAGGATTATCGTGTAAAAATTGGCGTCAGCTGATTAAAGCTTCTGTGGATTTTGGAGAAACAACAGCAGCAGATGTGGCTTCAGGTGTTTGTTTTTTTCCAAAATGCCCAAGCCCAGAAGCACCTCGTACCCTGTCAGGACTGCTTTCCTGTTATCCTACAGATTTCAGCTGTTTTTAGGCAAGGCCGAACTACCACAAATGCCCACTGCTGTGTGTGCACAGCCGTGGCAGGCCGAGAGATAAGAAGCTACAAGCGTCTCGGGCACAGAGGGAAGCTGCAAAGCTTCATGAGAACCAGGCCCCATGTGGGCCTCATGTTGGACTCCCACAAAGGAGAGCAAAGCATGTCTTGCTTCTCCAGCTACTCCCACCTGCTTGGTTTTGCAGCCACGCAATGGAAATTTCATGGCTCTGGATGAAAACACCAGGACAGTGGGGTCGACAAAAGACATCACTAATGGTAGCGTGAATAATGTACAGGAGACAAAGCCACTGCTGAACGGAGACGATGCCCTGCAGCCCTATCGGCAGAGAAACCATGAGGAGACGCCACGTGCACAGGTGACAAGGAGCACAGCTTCAGCCTGGGGACACTTCAGGCCTCAGCCACTGTCCTTGTCCAAGGGGACACAGCCCCACGTCCCAGCCCACAGCTAGGAAAGCATACCAGGCCCGCAGTGGTCCGGGTGCTGGATGTACTCACTACCATGTGCATGTAGCTCTGCCACTATGATATTTGCAAGATTTCTGCCGAAAGCATCCGTACAGAGGACTAAAAAGCAAGGAGCTTGTGCTATGGTCAGTGGAGCCTTTACTTCCAGTCTTACTTGGGTAAAGCAGGCATCTCAGATACAAGCTTTGTTTAAAAGAAGTGGACGGGCAAGAGGGGAAAGGCAGATTTTAGACAACACAACTTGTTAAATAATTAAAAATAAAGGACATTTTAATTTTGGAGGAAATAGCATAGAAAATTAAATGGAAAGTACACTTTTCTTTAAGAATTACTTTATAAATTGTATATATATACCTTATGTACAGCAAAAAGTATGAATGCAATGAAACTAAAACCTGCTTATTAATTAATTTTTCACAGGGTGCAAAGTCCGCACAATAAAAATACACGCTAATAACCCCTTTTCTGCTAGAAAAACTACTACACTTGGCTAAAAGGGCTGCAAGTCTAGCCAGCAGCAGGCTTCCTAGCGACTACCAGACACCTTCCCCACGAGCTCAGCTCACCCCAACAGGCCACGGGAGACAAATGGCACCACCATTAGATGACATCAGGAAAAAAAACAGATGCCAAAGCTGATTTTGGTAATTGCTTGGTGTTTTTTGAGTCGTATAAGGGACAGTTTTTGAGTACTTCCAAGGGCCTATTTTATGAACACGATGATGATAATGGTTTGCGGTGGGTTTTAAAATGGCGCGACGTGGCCCGCAGCGCAGCAGCTGGCTGTTACCCGCAGCCCTTGCTCTGCCTGCACAAGGCCTCGCAGGAAGAGTTTTGCCTCCTTCAGCCTACGTTTCCCCTTGCAGCCTTGCTGGAAACCTAAGAGATGAGATGAGTGCTTAAGAGCAGAAACCTTAAAAGGGCCGTGATAAGCAGCAAAGAGCTCTCAGTGAAATAACGCGTTTATCCAAACCGCTAGTAGGAGACACTGCCTCTTGAGCCCCATCTTTTTAGTCTGTGTACTTCAGATAAATAGATTATTTCGCTACGAGCTACTACAGGCTAGGATATACTCACATAAATATATTAATGCCTACACGTGAATATGAACTTTTATATATCGGATACATATAAGGAACACGACGAAGAGCAGATTGCCGCCACCGCTGCCTCTCTCAGGGCCAAGTTCACGAGAGGTGATGCAGGGAGGCTGGGCCGGCTGCCTGGGTTTTTGTCACCTCCTCTGTAGTGCCACACAGGGAACCTGGCCACAGAAAGTCTTCCAGCCTCCGGGCCAGCACGCTCGCCTGCTAGTCCTTCACCGAGAAAGGCCGCGGGCTGAGGCCAGCGGTGCAGGGGAAGCCCCCGCAGCCCCTTCCACCCAAAACAAACCCGTGAGGGACAGCACGAGTGTCTGCTCTGATGGAGGGGAAAGCCAAGCACGACAACTCGGCTTTGTAAAACTATCTCCATGAAAAGCTCCTTTTTTTAAGCCTTGGCATCAACGTTCAGGGCCAGGTTCAGAGCCGCCAGGGAGCCGCAGCAAGCAGCGGGGCCACCACCAGCTGAGGATGCTCTGGAGCTCTGCAAACTGCACCTCAACGTCCCGCCTCGAGGGGCCGGGAGGGTTCACACCGCCGTGCCTGTCCCTCTAACACGGGAACGGGAACGGAGCTGGGCCAAGCGAGTACAACAGGTCTGTCCTAGACACAGGCATGTGGGGTGCGACCCCTTCCAGAATCAGACTACGCTGCCGAAGCACCCCCTGCCAGGCCAGTGGCAGAGACGTGCCCCTAGTATTTACACAATATAAAGTGCATTAGGATTTCGTTATTGAACTGACAGACTTTCTGCCCGGACCACACAATTTTGAAACAGAGGTGAGGGCTTTCATAGGAAATTCTCTTGTGAGAAAAGAGGTGCAGACTGGTGCTCTTCACCCTGTCCTCCTAGAATTGTTTTTGGCCGTTCTTTCTAGTGCAAATAAGCTTGTGTTTTCTCAAGTTTAAGGGACATGGCAGTTTTAGGGCACAGAGCACGAGCACTTCAAATGCATGAGGAACTCAGCATTCCCAGCACTGCAATGGGCCCTTCGGCGCACAAGCAGCCTACATTACCGCTGCTCTTGGAGGTCGAAAGCGCACTGCCAAAAATAATGAGGAACCCGTTTCCAAATCTGACCGGTACAACCTTGCATTGCTACATTTTGAGTTAGTCTGTATTATCCTCCAATGACAATATCTGCAAGGATCAGTGCTATACATTTCCGTGGAAACCTGTCGTTAGTGGTTTACCCATTGGTAGTCGGCTGTGAACTTGGAGATCCCGATCCAGTTTCGGATACTAAGGTGCATCCCGCGCGGGGAGTACATGCATTAGTGAATCCCATGGGACCCAGCCCTGCCCCACAGCCAGCAGGCACCGAGTTCCTGGGTGCTATTCACAATACACTAATGCAATCAGAAGGCCAATTAATTAACACAGGAAAAAGGTTTAAAAAAAGAATGGTTTAAACACACGCTGATACCAGCCTAACTAAGATGCAGCCAGCTGCACTTAGTTACCCTTTCGTCAAAGTGCCAAGTGGGCAGCAATAAGGAAAGCCATTTTGCATCTTGCCTTTTTTTTTTTTGTTTAACAGTGAAGAAAACAGGCCTTTTCAATCGCTTTGCCCGTTGCGACTCTTCTCCTCACTAACAGTAAAGGAACAGAAGGAATGCAGGACCATCTACAACACACACCTAACCGAGGCAGATTCCAACACAGGAGCTTTCGCGATGCGTGGAGGCAAACGGGGGCGCGGGCTGGAAGATGTCAAGCACGTAGGGGAGGAATGCCACACGGGCAGGGGAAGGTGAGCGTAAAAGGGTTGTACATTCATAGCTCCAGGTGGCTGCAACCTGCGGCAAGTTCCTCCTTACTCCAGGCACTGTGACGGGCAGCAGCAGCCAGGGATGCGCTCGCTTGCGCATCCGTGACTCTTTTGCTAAATTCTGGTTTCACACCAACACTAGGACATGAAGTTATTGTAATTTTTTTTTTTTTTTTAATGGGCCTGTTAAAAACATTGTGAGCAAAACCCTAAAAGCAAAGATGAACCAGCACCCCGCACCGCCTCCAGCTGGTTCATCGTGGTCCACTAGCAGTTCCAGTGGTGGAATGAGAAAATCCCTTACAGACTTGAAAAAGTGCCTGAAAGAGCAATCTGTGCAGAAACGGATGGTCACTGTGACACTAAGCCAAATGTTTGCTTGCTGTAACTGCAATATGTAGTTTACGTACAGGGGGAATCACCTAAAACAGTGAAATTAACTTTCTTACTTCCTGTCACAACTGTAACATTTCCTAAAGGTTCTTTGGTGACTTTGGTGCAAGCTTTTTTTTTTTTTTTCTTTTTTTCCTTTTTTTTTTTTTTAAAGTTAAAACAGATCAACTATCGTTAGTACCCAAACTAAAGTCCAGATTATCCTCTTAGTTCCCACCCCCACCTCCCCAGCTTTTCTTGCTATGGTTAATGTCGTAACAGGCAGTAGCTTTTGGATTTAGCGCAGCCATGCAGCGTGCAGGTGGGTCCAGACGAAGAGTGAAAACGGTCTGGTTGCAGATAAATACCTTTCTGAACAAACTAAAAAAAAAAAAAAAAAAGAATAGTTGGGTTGGAAAACAGCTGGCCCACATGCACACTAGGCCACTCTGCAAAAAAAACAATTCAAACGATTACAAATATCTGACTAGACAGAGCGACGCATTCTTCAAAAAAACCTTAAAGGTGGGCAATTTAAAGGACCTGGAGCTCAACCAAACGCCCACTGCCTTCAGGAGGGAAGGAACTGGTCACCAAAGGGCTGAAAACGACCCCAAAGTTACACGTGTTTTGAAGAAATGACCAAGAATTTTCAAAGTCTTTCTTCAAGCCTGCTAAAGTGGTAACTCTGCGCACTTTCCCTCCAGGCAGAGGAGTACTCTTGCAGGGACTGCAAGGGTCAGGCCACAGGGCCACCAGTAGGACTTTGTGCTGCAAGGTGAGCAGCCAGACACCGAATTGCCCCAGCGGTGACACGGGGTGGGAAGGGGGTGACACGAGGGCACGGGTATTATCTTACGGTAATAACATCTGCAAAACCGACCTGACAGAAAACCTGACGCAGCCTTAACCACGGCTTTGAAAACGCGCTACAGATCAATATGACAGAGATGCATTTTTATAGGAATCAAGCGGTGCACCAAACCCCCCAAAGGCCTTTCTCTCGGCAGGAGGAGAGAAACGCCCAGCTGTCGTCCTCGTGCGTGTAACACCGACTGCGTTAATCTCACTTTTGGGAGGGAACCCTGGAACCTCGATCACAGCAGCCATCCAGCCTCAGAAAACCCGCTCCGCAGCCGCCTGCTGGAACCCACAACACCCCGCATACAAAAATAGCTCTCAAAATTTTGAGAAACGCGTTAAAAAAAAAAAAAAATCATCAGCCTCGCGTGGGCAGAGCACGTAGATGAAGAGTGGGTTATTACTCGTTGCCGTTAATTCGGAAGGCTTAGCACTCGAGCACAGCTTCGCTGTCCTGGGATACTCGGGTCACTCGGTTAGCACAGGACTATGAGGTTATGGACATATCTTCCGCTCTCCACCAGCACATCATAAAGGTCTGACCGGTTATCGAGATTTCACCCATATCCTTTCAAACTCAGCAACCTGCAGGTCCCAATTTTCAAACGTCTACCTCTCCTCATACATGTATGAGCAATTAAAAGGGGGTTGTTTTTTGTACGAGGTGCCCTGTAGCTAAGCTGCTCAGCCTTTAGACTGAGTCCAGACAGAACTCAGTTCCAGAAAACCTGTCATAAGCAGAAACTGATACATTTCAGCATGAGGGTGTTGTGTTTTTTTTTGTACCATGCTGAAGTGCAATACAAGCCTTATCTAGACTATTTAAAGGTCAGAATGCCGTTTTTTTTTTTTTTTTTTTTTGTGCTGATACGCATACTTCCATAGTCTTCCACACTTGAAGAAGCTGACTCATACAGACTCGGGAGGTTGTTACTTTCATGAGAAATACAGAGATGTTTTGGGCGTAATTTAGCACGATAACCAGACTCCCGCAATATTATGTACTGGAGTTAGTACGAGCTACCGGAAAGGGCTTTACAAAACAACGGGGCAACTTCAAATGACTACAGATCCGTCCCTCTCGCCAATTTCTGCTTTTTGTTTTGTTTATTTTGCCAGACGGCCAGTCCAATGCACTCTATTCGAGACCCTCTTGCTCTTCACCACTGTCCCCTCTGACATCCATCCTCTTTTCTTTATGGCTGTTGTAAATTCTCCTCATCTCCTCTTCGTACTTGATAAAATTTTCCCCAAACCTTGTCCATGCTTTGTACGGGACCGTGATGGTGTTACGGTAGGGCGGCCTCACCTCACTTACCTTCAGAAAGATGCCGTACCTGTTGGATCCCACATCAAAGTAGAACCGTTTGTTGTCCACCCGGAACGAGGTGCCCTCGGGGAGCTCGGGGGGGTCGTCGCCCCCGCCCCTGCGCTCGTCGATGTCCCCCTCGCCGTACTCTTCAATCAGCTGGACCAAAGCATCCCTGAACTCAATCATCCCTTGCGCCGGGAGGACAATAGTCTGCTCCTGTCCCAGGCCGTGGCCGAAATAACCGATCATGCCCGGTCCCCTGCTCATGGTTTGCCTAATCCGCAAGAAGCGCCCCCGCTGGTTCTCCTTCAGGTCGAGGTAATACTTCCTGTTGTCCCTCTCGATGTACTCCGTTTTGAGGACGCTGTGCGGGGGCTCTTCCGAGCCCACCGACCCCGGGGGCGAGGGCGGCGGGTGCTGCTGGCGCCGCCTCGAGTGCTGCTCCTTGCCATTGCTGTGCTCGTGCCTGTGGCCGCCCTTCAGGCCCAGGTGGGCGTAGTGCTCGATGAAGTCCCCCAGGCAGTCCTTCAGCTCGGCGGCCACCGACAGGGAGAGGGTCAGCTTGCTTTTCCTGATGTTGTCCTGCCGGCCTCGCCCTATCCACACCTCCGCGATCTTCAGGAAGCGGCCCCGGGAGCTCTGCTTCACGTCCAGGTAAAACCGCTTCTTCTGGATGTCCACCCTCTTGGAGGCCAGCTCCTGGATCTCCATGCAGCCCCCCTGCGAGGGGGCCGGGTAATGGTACTGCTGCTGGGACTGGGAGTACACGCTCCTGTGCAAGCCGGAGCCCCCCAGGTTCCTTCCTCCTCCTCCTCCGCCTCCTCCTCCTCCTCCTCTCCCTCTTTCCATCTTCCCCAATCAGCTGGAAATAACACACAACAGACACACGGATGACAACAGCAGCACCAGGGGCCTGCTACACTCCTCGCCGCCGCTCTGCTCCCCGCTGCTCCCCCTACCAAGCCTCCCTCCCGGCACCCCCACCCCGCTCAGCCCCGTGCCCTGTGCCCCCCGGAGCCCCGTCCCCCCCAGGCTGCGTGTCCCCCCCCAGCGGCACCGAGCGCCCCGGTTCAGCCTCCCGGCACCTCCCGTGACCTCTCCACCTTGGTGCTGACGGGCACCCATGGGGGAGCCCCCACCCCGCTGCCCTGCAGACCCCCAACCCACACACAGCCTCCCCCCACCGACCCCACATCCCGCTCCCAGCCCGTGCCCTCTGTGGGTGCCCCCGGGAGCCCCCCAGCACCCCGTGGACCCCCTCCCTACCCCCCTATGGGTGCTGCACCTCCTGCCCCCACAGTGCTCCCCAGCACAGCCCCCAGCCCCCCAGCACCGCATCTCCCCCCTTTACCCCCCCCACTGCCTCGCAGCGGAGCCTCTCAGCCCCCAGCACCCCATATCCCCCCCAGGAGAGCATCCCCAGCCCCCCAGCTCCACATCTCCCCCCCGGTGCCCCCAGCAGAGCCTCCCATGACCCCCCAGCACCCCATTCCCCCCCCAGCATCCCCAATAAAGCTTCCCCGTGCCCCCCAGCGCCCCATTTCCCCCCCAGTACCCCCGGGGGCTGCCCCCAGTACCCCCAGTACCCCCTCTCCTGCCCCCCCAGTGCCCCCCAGCACCGCATCTCCCCCCCCAGTGCCCCGGGGGCTGCCCCAGTACCCCCAGCACAGCCTCCCCTGACCCCCCCAGCCCCCAGTTCCCCCCCAGTTCCCCCAGTACCCCCCCCATTACCCCCCCCAGTGCCCCCCCCACTCACCCCATAGCGCCCATCGCCGGCGCTGCCCTTCACCCGGCGGCCCCGCCGCCCCCCCCCGCCGCGCCGAGCCCGGGGCTGCCGCACCCCCGCGGCCCCGCCCCGCCCCGGCACGGCCCCGCCCGGCGGCGGGCGGCGAGCGGCGAAGCGGCGGCGGCGGCGGCGGAGACACAGCGCTGGGCGCCGCCGGCCGGCCCCCGGGACTACATTACCCACAGCGCCCCGCGCCCGCCGCCGCGCCGCGCATGCGCGTCACCTCGGGTAACCTCGCAATGGGCTGAGGGAGGGGGGACGCGGGGAGGGAATGGAGGGGGGGGGGTGAGTGATGCGTGAGGCGCGCGCCGCGGCGTGACGTCACTGAGCGAGCCGGCAGAGGCGGGTGGTGGGGCTGAGGGGGGAGGTGCGCGCTGCGCGCTGCTTCGGGCCCTGAGGGGTTTTTGTGGTATTTGTCTTTTTTTTTTTTATTTTTAAAGTGAAATGCGGGAGGAGTGAGCGCCATGGAGCCGTGGGGCGCCGCCGGGCGGGAGAAGTACCCGCAGTGGATGCGTGCGCCCAGCAGCCAGGCGGGCGGCGCGGAGGTAGGGGTGCGGGGCGGTGAGCACGGGGGGCAGCAACACCCCACAGCACGGGCACGCAGCGCCCTCACAGCGCCTCTGCCAAAAACCCCGTGCAATTGTGTCGTGCAGCAGCGCAGGAGCCTCCTGGAGGACGGGCTGCCCTTCCTGGAGTTCTGCGGCTCCATCGTGTACAGCCACGAGGCCAGCGACTGCTCCCTGCTCTCGGAGGATATCAGGTGCCAGCTCGTCCCCCCGCTTCCTTGGGGTGCCCCCTCCTCGCTGGGAAGGGAGCCGTGCTCCTCTGCACGCTGCGCCTTGCTGGGTGCGTGCTGCGGCCTGATAAAACAGCCGGGCTGCTCTACGCGTCCTCCTTATCAGCTGCCAGCACAAAGCTGTAATAAATAAAGTTAATTCGTAATTGGGAGTGTAAATTTGGGGGGAGGAAGCAGTATTTTATCATGCAAGTAAATATATTTCCGCCCCATTCTTATTTAGAATGTTACTGGGGGGGGGGGAAGAGCTCTGTATGGAACTTGCACAAGAAAGAAAGCAGCAGGAATTTCAGCCCTTAATATTAAAATGGTTTTTGTGCCTTATGCATATAAAAGGAAAAAAATGTGCTGGCTGCCATTCCCTTAATTGTCCTTATGTGAGGTGACCCAGTCCTGATGTTCCAGGTGCTGGTAGGAGAGCAGTTAAACGTGAGGAGTGCTGGTGTCTTTTCAGGCAAACTTTATCATGTGGGGCTGCTGTTGGATTTGATATTGAATGGCCACCGTCGTACACCAAAGGAAAGATGGCAAAAATAGCTGTCATACAGCTGTGTGTAACCGAGGAAAAATGCTACTTGTTCCACGTCTCTTCCATGTCAGGTACTGTACTTCCTCTGCTCCTGCCAGGGCGTGACCTCTCTTCTGTTTCTTGTGATTTGGTCTGAACTTTAGCCTTGAGCTGCAGCCTATTTCACTCTGATAGTTGGAAAAAAATCCATCCGTCTTCTTCACAGTGATGCTTACAATACAGGGCTTTACTTTATTCACTGATCACTCCTCAGGTATTAAGGGGTCCTTAGGCCAAGGTTTGGGTGGTGTTCTAGCATGTGGCCCTGTGGCTTCTGAGCAGGGTAAGAGAATTTTACCTAAGGATTATTATTTTTTTTTTCTGTTCTGGGAAAGAGTCTTAATACTGTTTTGAAAACTGCTCAGATAATGAGCTTTCTTCTTTTTGCTGCCAAAATAAACACCAAACCTAAATTTAGCTGGCTGTGTCTCTTCTTGATTTGACTCGAGTAACAAAATCCCTCAAAAACGATGGCCGTCACACTTTCTTTCCTAATTTTGTGCATTTAGTTTTCAGGAAGAATACTGAATACATGTGTGATGCAGCTGTGCGGAGAGGGGGATGCATGTTCAACAGCGTCTGAATTCATAGTGGATGTGAATAAAAGCTTCCAAATAAGAAAAATAAGAAAGGGGGGGGGGGGGGGGGAGGAGGTTGCAATTTTATAACCTTTGGTTTGAATGCTGGAAACTATGCCTGTGAGATGCCTCTGATTTCCCTGGGGTGTGCATGCTGAGGTGTAATAGGGATAATTTAAATGTTGGTGTTCAGTCCTTTGTCATTTATAGCAAATGAGGTGGAAAATTTAATTGCCAGAGGCTATTCAATCCATGAGGCAGTTATTTTCAACCTCACAAAGGAAAGATTTAAGAAAAAGAAGCCAAGGAAAGAAGAGACATGAGGAGGAGCTGAAACACTTTTGGTTTTGGGGTGAAGCTGTGTGTTTGGATGTCGATCCTAGACATGGTTGTGTAGGTGCTACTGCTAACTATGAGCCTAACAGCAGAAGATGGTGTTTCTGCCTGAATCGTTTTCTAAAGCTTTTGTTCATGCCAAAGGGAGATGCACTTTGAACTGGGTAAGATGTCAGCACTCTGCCAAGAACCACAGCCAATTTTTGCTTATTCCGAATATTTGACTTTTTTTAAAAAAAAAAAAAAAAAAAGACTGCAGAATCATTGAGTTGGACAAGGCTTATTACTTCTGTTGTTTTTGTTTTTGTTTAAAAAGAAACAAACTTCCTCCTGTGGGAAAGAGAATGAAGAGTTGCTGGACTGTGTATAAACACATCCTGTAAAGGATGAAGTTTCAATATGTTTTGATCATGAAGGTTCTTGATAACTCTCCATTTTTTTACCCTTTTTCCTTCCGTGGAACGTGTCCTACTTCTCACGTTGTAGCCTCTGGATAGTCTAGACCTAGACCGCTCTGGTTTATACAGTATTTTTTTTCTAGAAATGAGGTGGAAGAAATAGAGCAGAAGTCATCTGCTGGGAAGTTGCCACCTTTTCAAGGTCTTCCTGATATTTTTAGGTAGGGGAAATCCCTCGTTCAGTAAGTCAGCTGCATATCTGGTGTGCCTGTGTTCAGCTCAGCTGGATTTATCTCCTCTTCAGAGGAGTCTCCCCACATTTTTTTGAGGTGAAGCATCTCTGTATGTTTACTCCTGTAGCAAACCAGGTAGTAGAGCTGTGTGCCTTACTTGAGCCTGTGAAGTTGAAAATACCCTTTTATCCAGCGTTGCTGTGCAGTCAGCTTGGGCTGAATCAAAATGTAATAAGTAAGCATGCACACAGATGCTAAGTAACTTCTTTTACTTACAAGACTGACCTGTCTTGGTGGAGGATGTGGTCGGTTAATTCTATTTTCCAAGTGCTAGGAAATAAAATCCTGTGGAAAACAGCAAAATAGCACTGCATTTGGTGTGACAAGCATGCAATTCTAAGGATTGAAATATTTTTTTCCTCTGCTAAAGGAGTTGCCTTTTTGTTGTTACGTGGTTTTAGGATCAGTAAGACGAGTGGAATAAGGTTGTCTCTCTCTTTTTTTTTTTTTTTTTTTTACTCTAATTTGTTTTCAGATACAGAATGAATTTGCCTAGCAAGTTTTTGAGCTTTTCCTCCAAAAGCACAGGTTTCTGCAGGTGGCCTCTGTGCTAGACTTTGTCATTTCCATTAGACTATCTGGCATCTTCCAGTATCTAGTTTCTCATGTTTGGGCTTAATCTATTTTAGGTTTTCCCAAGGGACTCAAAAGACTGCTCGAAGATGAAACAATTAAAAAGGTTGGCGTAGGAATTGAGGGAGATCAATGGAAGCTGATGAGTGACTTTGAAATCAAGCTGAAGAGCTTTGTGGAGCTGGCTGACGTTGCTAATGAGAAAGTAAAGCTTAAAACCTTTTTGTTGTGGGAGGGAATCTTGTTAATGTGCTGTATGAGAGATTTCCTTGTCTTCGCAGGAGTTAAATTCTGATACAAGCCTGTTCTGTAGAATAATGCAGAGAGGTGATGCAGCTTTAAAAAAATAAATAAATCACGATTCCAGAGAACTCAGCCTGCAGATTTAAGTATTGTATTTCAGTAAGCCAGAATGTTCTTAGTATTTTTCCTCTCCCAGGTCTGTTCGCTGTTTGCATTTAAGAGGCACAGCTCATTAGATCCAGCTGCGGGTGCATTTTTCTTACTTCTTAGTGACAGAGATCAGCAGGCTGTGTCAAACTGGGGGTGTGTTAGCGATGGCATACGTGTTCCAGTAGAGGCTGAACCCCTGGAGTACCGTGAAGGTCTGATGCCTGTTTGGAAGGAGGCTTCTGGAAGGAAGCCATGGAGTCCTCCATCTGGAGGTGGAGCTCCAGAAGTATTTTCCTTTCTGTGCCTCAGCAGCTGGTGCTACCTCTGCTAACCTGGGGGCAGCTTCTGCTGTCTGACAACCCCCTGTTCAGAAGTAGCCTTGTGCCTGGCATATCTCGCATCATGCTGTAGCTAGGTGCTGCTTAGGTACCACCTGATGCAGGTAAATCTGCACTCGTGTAGGGGAAGAGGATGAAAAGTTCATTACCACCCAAATCATCCTGCCACACTTCTTACTTTCATAGCCCTCAAAGTTTTGTCTTTTTTCTATCTACAGTGTTTTTCTGTAGTCTGCCTCTCCATGCCCTTCTATTTGCTTCTGTGTATTTTTTTTGCACAGTAGGATAGCAGCCACAGTCATGGTTTCCTGGTGGAGCACAGATTTATGCCAAGGAATAGTCCTTCCACTACCTTTCTCTGATGCTGTGTATTCAAATCGTGGTGGAAGAGAGGGGCGTGATGTACCTTCAGCATTCAGGGCTGCGTTGCCTTGAGCTTTAGCTCCTTGTGGGCTGGAAGCTATGCAGAGTAAATTGTTTTGCTTGAGCAATAAAAGGAGCTGTTCCTTTTCAGACTTGGAGTTTCCAGAATTCATCCCCACACCTTATTCCACCCCCCAGCACCCAGCCGTAGGATATTTTGTTATGAAGATAAGTGATGTGATCTTTGATAGCAGCTTTAAAGTCTTTTGCTGAAAACAGTCCAAAAATAAATTTGAAAATGAAGCCTGAGAGAACAAAGAATAGCAGCTTATGTAACGGCACAGCGCAAGGGGGAGAGGAGGGGGCACCTAAAATCAGCACTGGGTAGGCTTTTGATACCTGACTGAAGGGGATGAACTGATAATGCCACGCTGCTGCAGGCACTGCTAGGCTCTGCAGGCTGCGTGCAGGGACTCTCGGCATAGCACGAGGCTGTGCCTGCAAGTCCTGGCTCCTTGGAGTCAGAAAGAAAGCTTCCCAAGCTCTCAGAGCCCGGCGAGGCAAGGGGATGTAGCAGCTGTGACCGCCAGCTAACATTATGGAAGCAATTGGAGACAGCAGCGTGGCAGGCTGGTTTCTGGAGTCTTCCAGAATTAGGCCTGAAGAACAATTGGTGCTTTTAGGAAGATAGTTTATTCTGCCTAATCCAGATCTCTGCTTCTAATGCAGTATTAAGTACGCTTTGCTGTTTCTGCAAATGCGTTTTGACAAGTGCAGTTGCTTTCTCCTTTAAACGAGTTTATTTTATTTATTTTTTTCCAGCTGAAGTGTAAGGAGTTATGGAGCCTAAATGGGCTGGTAAAACACCTTTTTGGGAAGCAGCTTCTGAAAGATAAGACTGTCCGCTGCAGCAACTGGGAAAAGTTTCCACTCAATGAGGAGCAGAAACTGTATGCAGCCACAGATGCTTACGTACGTACAAGAAAAGATCTACAAATACCTCTTCTAATGTGCTGTTTGGTTTTAGCACCCTTCTGTGACAGAACTTGGTCAGCGTTGGAAGACTCCATGGTCCAGTGTGGATATGGGGTGTTTCGAGGTGGAAATACCGCCATGCTGTTTACTCTCCCATTCCTTGTCCGTATTAAATTGCTTTTTGAGCTGCAGCGTTCATCCAGCACTGTCATGCCATCTATTTCTGCTGAAGGTGGTGCTGCTTGGGCCTGACTCAGCATCGAGGCAGGCAACTGAGGTCACTCAGAGTATGCTGCATTGGATGTTTCATGCAGAAAATTGAATGTAGACAGACAAAATGAACGAAATTTCACAGCATCCTTGAACCTTCTGTGAGGGCTTCACCTCTTTTTTTTTTTTTTTTTAATGATGTTGCAAAATCTGCCTTTTCGTTGAAGCCTGTTGCTGAAGCAGTTCTGGAAGCTCTGCCGTGCTTTCAACGTGCCAAGTACTATGGGCATCGAGAAGTATGCCAGAGGAATCTATCCGTTTGGACTGGCTTCAAGCTGTCACCTGAGGAAAGTGAATTTTGATGGAGCAATCATGTTGATTTTATCTGTGTGAAGTCTTTCAGAGTTACTGTCCCACATGTGGCACAGCTGATACAGAGTTCTTACGTGCAATAACCACTTACAGAAGTGAACCGTGGGTAATTTTTCCTGGGTTCCCTTGTTTGCAGGTATTTGCTGTAGCTTGGTAGTGTTTTCAACTGATTTTTTTTTTTTGAGGGGGCTTTTTAGTCATCTTTGAGCTGCTTATTGAGCAAAATCCAGTTTTCTCAGCTCCTGCAGAATATGATACACGAGTTAAAGTTAATGAGCAGCTCTGAAGAAGTGTAATCTTCTCTAGTGGCTAATGCAACTTGGTTCTGCTGTATGTCAATTATTGTAGCTCTGGAGAAGTCTGTTTTTGTTTTGTTTTGTTTTTTTTTCACCATTTTGAAAGGAGAGATCTTTTCCCTTGGTTCTGGATTCTGACTTAGCCATGTGCAACTGGGTGCTACCTGCTTCCTGGGAGAAAATTCTTCTTTTTGGTGGTGCTTGAATATTGCACTTAATCTCTTCATCCCTCAGGATTGTAGTTCTGTGACTAGGTCAGATAGAGGAAGGGAAGCAGGACAGCATTCCCTGTTTTCTGATTTAGAAACATTGAGTATTTTCTAGTTAACTATTAAGCTGCGGAGTGTTTAGCTCCTGTGGAGATGCAGAACCCAAAAAGGGGCTCTATTTTTGGTCCTCAGAGCTGCCTGGTGCAGGCAGCTGTAACCAGCGTTTTCTAGGCAAAACCTCTTCCTTGCTGTGCTGCCTTCAGCCTGGCCTGCCTTTTGGAGCATCACAGGGAAACACGAGGGAGTAACTTGTTTCTTTCTTCTTTGAGATGCCTTGATTAACACGTGTAGCCTAATTAGCTCATTGCTGGCTTTAGGCTGCATTCTTCTGCTAGAACTTATTCACATCAAGGGAAATATAAAGCACGCAGAATCTTAGTAGATTCATAACTATTCTCTTGGAGCATTACATAAAATCTGAATGAGGTGGAGCAGATGGTGAGACTGGGAACGATGTACTTAGAGCTCTCTATCTGCAGCTAACTTCATAGGATAACTACACTGGGATCTAGTCACAAGTGTCCACTCTGATGCAGACCAAAGTCAGGACTCTGACTTTGTGAAACATTCTGTAAGCTGTAATGTGGTTGTGATTAACAAGGCAGTAAGGGAGACCATTGACTGTTGTATGACATGGCCTGAGAACTCAGAATTTACAATGCTTGCAATGAATTAACGCCATGGCTTGCCAAACTAATTCTTGGCAATTTTGTTTAGATAAAACGTGGTTTAAAATGTGGTTTCTCTGTGGAGTACTAAGTATTAATCTTTTTCCCTTTCCTTTGCAGGCTGGCTTCATCATTTATCAAAAACTGAAAAATATGAATAGCAACGACAGGAAATTATTTGGAGAAAGAAGAGGTAAATTACATGTTTCAGCATAAAGAATGTATTCCATTTCCCAATGGCTTTTTTTCATAGTATTTTAGTATCACAATTTTCTGGCTTCTTGGAGGTTAGAGACAGCTTCCAGAGAATGCAGATTGTAAAGGTTCTTTGGTGACCTGTGTTACCATACTCGTACTATTCCACACTGACGTGGGAGTGCAGCCTGGGTATGTCATTTGTTTCTGCAGCATGAGGAGATGCTAAGAATTCCTGCTGTCATTCCAGTTTGGTTTTGGAAACACTTCAGTGAGTTGCTGTCAATTCTGCTGACCCACGGAGGAAAATCTAATTTAAGAAGAAAAAAGACCACAAAATAAATACATGTTATTAAGTAACACTTTTCTTGATGTATATAAATAGGGCCCTTTTTTTTTATTTTTTTATTTTTTTCAGAACAACTCAGCTCTATTTACTTGATCAGAAAAGTGATTCTAAAATTTTGGTTTTCCTTCAGTTACGTGATTCATAAGGAAGACTGAATATTGCTTATAGTTTATGGCACAAAAAGGGAAAAAATTGTTTCCTTATGGTACTGTCTGAGTTCTTGTCTCTCAAAGACATCAGTACTGTTCCTTTTACGAGGTGCAATTTTTGGCTTCAGTTTAGTCAGCATGTCAGTGTTAGCTGCTTTAGTGGGACTGATATCTGAAACCTATGGGAAAAACTTTTCCATGAGAAAAGGGCCCAGGAGTGATGTTACACTAAACATCTGGATTCTTTTGTTACTGATATTGCAAGTCCTAAAATGCTCATGCAAAGGAAATAGCTATCTGTTCAACACAGATGCATCGCTTTTGTGAAAACAAAAGTGAACAAAAGCCCACAGGTGAACAACAAGGAACACCAAACAAATTTATTTGTGAGTCTCTGCTGATTTATTTGAGTAATGGTCTCTGACGCAATGTGACTGAGCTGCTCCCAGCTGCCTGATATTGAAGGTCTAGTTGGGAGAAAAGGGGAGACTCGTGCAGTCTGTGTGTGAAAAATAGTGGCCCATGACTAGAGGGGTGGTACTGAGTTAATGTCTGTGCAAAAAAGTCGAGTTTCTTCATTTGAGAAGCTGTTAAAAGCTAGACTGTTACCTTATGTTAGCAGTCATGAGGGTTGTCCATGCAGTCCAATTATTAACTTTCTGTCAGTAGGACAGTAGTTTCCAGCTGTGCAAAAGGTGCATATTGAATAATTTGAACTGTGTCTTAAAAACACACCAAGTAGCCCTGTGCATTTCTGTGAACACTGGCAGGCAGTAAGCAGAACGTGTCTGTGCATCCAGGGTTTGGCTGGGGGTGGAGAGAGGAGACTGAAAGTCTTTAACCAACCAACCAAAAACTCACCACAGTGAGTGATCTGTGGCTGATGGATGTGGTACGCTGAGTTACAGTTCCCTACAACTCCAACAGCCAAGAGGTTTCAGGTGAAAGTGCAGCTCAGGCGTGAGGAGTGTATCTCACGTGGATACGCCGTGCTGTGGAAGTTGCAAAAGTGAGGAGTGCAAGCAGATTCAGGAATCAGCTAGACAAGGTCGTGGAAGAAAGTTCAGACAGATTGATTCTCCCCCAGCGTGCCCTCCAGCTTCCAGAAAGCAGCAGCCGAGTGGGATGGAGCCTGAACAGTGATCAATTTATACCAGTCCTGTTCTGTGTCCTCTTCCCATCAGCATGTGTAGCGGGCTGCTGGAAGGGGTGTGCTGCTGAAGGACGTGGAAGCTTTGACATGCCTCACTATGCTACACTTTTAAGCACTGGAAACATCTGTCTTGTTAGCTTGTGGAAGTACAGATGAGTTTGAGTACCTGTGTGCGTAGCTGTTAAACCTGAGAGACTGTGGAGTAACTGTGCTGGTGCTTCCTGTAGGTAACGTGTCAGATGACGTGAAGGAGCACCTGGGCTCACTAGCTGAAGAGATGGTGTACCTGGCTTCTCGGATCCCTGATTCATCTGGACAACCTGGAAGCTTGCAGAGGTCAGGCTTCTGTCACCCCGACTGCTGTTTTGGGCTCGTATGCTGAGGTTCAGTACAACAAAATGTGTTGGCAGCTGTAGCTGTTACCTTTGCATTCTTTTTCAATAAAAAAATGCAAAGCACAGTTCACTTGGTGGGAACCTTTGCCTTTACATATAGATACAGCAGAACACAGATGCTCCCTGATGTTTATTGCAATAGATTTGACATCGAACTTTGCTAATATGTTTATTTTCTTGCTGAAATGCACAGCAAGACGTTTTTAATAGAAACTACAGTCTCTCACATGACTAATTATAAGTCTGGAGCCTTACTGCATGGCGATACTACAAACACTACGCGTAGGGAATCTTGTAGGCTTTCTTCTGTGTTAAAAAATTGGATCTTTCCTCTGAAAGTTGGATACCAGTTGCAGTTGTACGATGAGCTTTTGTAAGTGAAATTTTGGACATAATTTACCTGGAGAAACAATACTTCAGAATCTTCAGTTCTATTTGGTGGCTAGCATGTATTTTACCTCTTACCGTTTACCATTATCTTTACAATTTTTGTTTAATTTTCTTGTTTTAACTTCCAGGGCTGCAGAAATACTAGCTGACATTTCAGAGAACATAAAAGCCTTACGAAGCACTCTGCTTGCTGCTTCATGTTCCCCTTCTGTACTGGAGAGGAGCTGTGGTGAAGCTCCAACAAAACTTGAAGTGGAATCAGCAAGTGCTGAAGCACAAAAAGTTGAAATGCGTGAACTTGCTAAAAAACTTGAAGGTGACATCAACATGTGCTCTGATGCTACGCTAGCTGGCCTCTGGGAGGGAGATATTGATGAAGGAGAAGCAGAGAGAGGTAACACTGCTGTGGGAGACTGGGAAGAAGCAGCTGGCTCTAAGGACAGAGCAGACAGAAATGACTTCATGTCACTGGACATTACTGAGCAAGAACTTCAGATGTTGGAACATCAGGCTGCAGAAGAGTATCTCAACAATGCCATGCCTGAGGTAATGAGAGAGGACCTTGTTAATCATGGACGCTCACTGGAGGAAGTGATCTCACTCTTCCTTTCCCACAAGACTTTTAAAAGTTCTTGCTGAGATGAGAGAAGATTAAAGTGGGCTAGTGGAAAGAAAGTGTTTGTGGAGGTAGTCAAGCACCGAGCTGCCCTTTAGGCATGCAGTTGGGAGGATTAGTGCTGAATGCAGGAACTCTAGATGTTCTGATTAGCTTTCCTCTTGCTGGTGCCAGTAAAATGTGATATGAAGTTCCTGCTGAGTGGGGACAGATTCTGCACTTCAACATCCCCACCTTGGTCATAAATAAAAAGCAGATATTTAAGGGCTCTCTGAATGGCAGTCTTTCTAGTGACTGCTTAACGTGGATCGATGCCTCTTAATCTGATTATAATTTCTTTATGTTCCGAGTGTTCCCCACATCTGGTGATACTTCTGTTGCTTTTGTCTCTTACTACAGGGCCTTGTAGTGTTCTAACACTTTTTTTCCAGATGTGCTTTATATAGACTGGGCTTCACAGCTAAAGATCAAGCTTATTTATTTTGTTAGTAAGAAGTAACAGCATACAGAGGAAGCTTGTAGTGTGTACAGAAGGTTGAGAAGATGTAGGTAAAAATAGCAATAACTTCGCTGATAGGAAAAAAAAAATAATACACGTGTTTTCTTCTTAGGAGGAATGTGCCACAGATAACAAACATAATATTTCCTGTGTCATTGAAAGCGATGAAGAACTGGAAATGGAGATGCTTAAGGTGAGTGCCTCAGCGTTTTGGATTTTCCTTTCTTTTGTAATGATGATTCTGTGTCAGGTCATGGTGGAACATAGCATCAGTGAGGTGAGGGAATGAAGCAAATAGATACTGCTCAAAAAACTTGGGCAGAAGAATGTGTGGATACCTGAAGAATTCAGTTTACCAGTGTAGGATCTCAGTATCCCATATATCCTGCTACAACTTTGCTGTACCAGCTTCAGTTTGACCCAACTGTTTCCCACACCTTTGTAGATCATCATTCATCACCTGTTTTGTTGTTGTGTTCAAACCCTTGTCTAAGAGGCTGATCTGAGAGAGTGGTTTTTGCTCTATAGATACTGCTAATCTGGGTAGTCAGACAGGCTGCTTCATCTCTGTATGTTTTGCAGGCCTCTTAAGTGTTTTACTTGTGTAATGTTGTTTATTTTTTCTAAGATGGTGATTTAGGTATTTTGCCTCTTTCCACTGTTTCTTGTCTGCATCCCAAAGAGTTCATGTATTTCAAGTGAATTGATGAATTTCATTAGAGCAGTCACAGGTGTTCATGAACTTAACACACATGCTAAGTAAGAAGCAAGATTCAAAGATTTGGGGACAAAAATTATGAATTTTCTTGTAGGGAAGGACTGAGTCTCTTTTTAGATGGATCTGTGCTGCATGTCCATCTTCTGTGCTGTAATTAGATTACAGTTCATGTGCCCCAATGTCTTATTACCTCAGGCACGCATTGTTTTTACCCTTTTGTGTACTGAATTAACTTATTCTTATGAACTCTCAGTCTTTAGAAGATGTAGACAAACCTAAAGAGATTTTGACTGAAAATGAGTCCAGCAGAGCCAGGAAAACTCCAGATGACCCAGAATTGAACGTTGCACCAGATGGAGATGAAGATGAAGGCATTGAAGAAGAGGAAGAGGAATGTTGGGGTATGTTTTAAATCACAGTGCAGGATTGAAGGAAGGAAAGAAAAAAAAATCACTAGAGTCAGGTGTGTAATATTTTGTGCTTGATTTCTTGAAACAGAAATTAAAAGCTGATCTGGATTATTAAAGGAATACTTGATGATGTTTCAAGGTGAAAACTTAAAGGCATCCTTGTCGAAGCATAGATTTGTGCCATGATCTGTAGGCTGTCTCTTCATCTCTCTAAACAATTGCCTGACAGACTGTTACAGGGGATGTGTGCCTGCCCAGCAAACAAATACGAGGTGGAAGAGTAATGCCTTCTACTGTTGAATATTAATCATAAATTCCAATGGACATTTTGAGCATGTTTCTTCTGTGTTTGCTGTAAGATTAGGTTCTTCCCCATCTGACATCTTCAGACCATGACTTTTTTAGCAAATTGCAGCATCAGGCATTAAATAGCGTGACTTCAGTGAGGTATTAAAAGGGATGCGTAGCAAAACATCTCTATTACATCTTCTGAACACATTCCGAGTAACGTAGCTATGCCTTACAGTGTCTATTGCTTTATTATCTCATTAATAAAGCCATATGCTCTCGTTCATGCTGGGTCTCTGAGCAATCTGTCTGTTTCTCTTTCAATCCTCTATTTTAGCCTGTAAATATCTTCAAACTTGCTATCTCTTTCTACTGGAATTTTCCAAATCTTAGGCCCTGGGCTCACTAACCGTGACTGTCTGTCAAGACAAAGCTTTGTCTCTTTAAAAGATGATCACATACAAGTCTTTGTTTCTCTCACTAAAGATCCGTTGCTGCCCGTACCTAGTGAAATCCAGGTCACGTGTCTGAAGACTTATTTTGGGCATTCTTCTTTTAAACCGTAAGTATGTTTTCAATTTGCTTTCTTTCCTCTCTTTCAATTCAGAATAGCTTTTATTACTAATTTAAGAACCATTAACAAACTTGGACCTGTGCAAAATTCCTAGGAAAAGCAGCGTTTGCCACAGTGAAATATCAAAACAAGCTCATGGAATGCTAACTGCAGCACTGTACTTTTATAACAGGGGATGAGTTTCTTGACTATGCTGTTGGCGAACCGATAGTGATCAAATGTTTTTGTACCAGGTCTAGCTCAGGTATTTCAGAGAACAAACACAGTAAGCTTGCACAGATGTTCTCTGTATGATAAACATGCTAAGGAAGTTTATCTTTGTGTGGCTCTAGTTAAGGAGGGGTGGGCTTCTGTCTGTCTCTAATGCTGATTGCCCAAGTCTTATTAGAGATCCCCATTGTAACACTGGTGGAACCACCTGCCATAGAATAAACACTGGTTGCAGCATGCAAAGAGGAAACTATCAGGCAGCTAAAAGGGTTTCTTCAACACAATTTACATGTAATGTAATGTGTGGTGGCAAAAGTAAAATATTATTCTTCCATTAATTCAAAGGGTCCAGTGGAAAGTGATCAGTTCTGTTTTAGAAGACAAAAGAGATAATCTTGTTGTAATGGCAACTGGTAAGTTACTTCTGTGTCCTAAAAAGCGGTGAGAAATCTTTTTCTTTTAGGGGAGAATAGGACATTGGAACTTGGGGACTGTCCATGTGGCTCTTAGGAGCAGAGTGCCCAGGACTTCTGTGTGAGACTGCAAACCTTGGCCAGCTATGCTGGCTGCTTGTAGTTGTCTATTTTTTTTTTTCCCCTGCTGGCCTTGAAGTAGGGAGGGACATTGAATGGATGCCACTAATATATATCTTGTATCTTTGTTTGTCTGCTAGGGGGACAAACATCAGCTTCATTTTTAGGGCTCAGGAAGGTGTTAGAGTTGTTTTATACTTTCTATACTGCTATAAAACATAGCTATGCGTTGTTTCACTTCTGCCTGTGTTTTTCTTTTTTCTTCAAGGATATGGGAAAAGTTTGTGCTACCAGTTTCCTCCTGTTTACACTGGATGTACTGGAATCGTCATCTGTCCTCTTATTTCCTTGATGGAAGACCAGGTACTGCAGCTGACGTAAGTAATTGCCGTATTTTCTGTGGAAACCCATGGATTCTGCTCGTGGCATTTCTCAGCGTTTAAGGCTGCAGCTTTGTACAGCAAGCTGTTTGTGTTTCAGCTGTAAAACGTACGTTTCTCCAGGAATGCATGTAAACTAAATTAATTCAGGGATCTAAAGATCACTGGATCTGGCGACTACAGGATTTGGAGGCTGAATTTGCAAAGGACCTGTGCTGGTGGGTGGTTTCTGAAGGTAGATCCTTCTCAATTATTTCTGGATTCAGAGGCTCTGTTTATGCAGAACAAATGAATGGAGGAACTTCACATATTGTCTGAGCCCGTGAGAGCTCTGTCAGAATTTCACAGGGCTTCCTTTGGGTCCAAACAGTAAGAGCTGAACAATACAGAGCTGGAAGATGAAGGCCATTCAGATCAAGGTTATGACATAGATTTCTAAGATGGATGGTGAGATAGGTCTAACACCTGTTGTCTTCACTTTTAAATCCTGCCACAGACCTTTTAAGTAGGCAACACTGAGTCACTCTTACATGAACAGTTATAGGGGTGGGCAAAATCTTTGATTTTAATACCTGCTTTTTGTACTTATTTGCTGTTATAACAGCTATTCACTGTTGATACCTTTATTTTAGCTACTGCCTGGGAGAGTCTGTTGGAATCATGCTGAGTTATCTAGTTCATTCCTGCCTTGTCACGCTTAGAAAGGGCATGTCTTTTGTGACAGAGGGGATATGAAGATTTTGAAGAAAGGAACATCAATTACGTGTGGTATTTTCTGCGGCAAATTCTGGCTTTGTGCAAATGAATAGCTGGAGAGCCTCAGCTGGCTGTATAGCCAGCTTCTGGACCAAGTATTAATCAGCAGGGTGTCTATATGTATTCAGCCACTTCTTTGGCTTTTGTACTGTTTTCCTCAGTGTAAAGCGTTTATTCACTACCTTCTCAGTAGGTCATTGATTTTTTGAAGGCTGAAGAGAGTGAATTTCTGCAGCCTAATGCAATTCAGTGATTTGGCTGTCAGTCTGGGCGCAGTTCTACCAGGGAATGAAGAATGAGGGGGGGGGAAAGCTATCAAAACATAGTGCTGTATTAAAATGCAGCACATCACCAAGTTAAGGAGATAAGTTGCATTGTCCTGGAAGAGGTCAAATAGAAATTAGCTGAGTTAGTAAGCATCATTATTGTATTAAACACTAAAAAGCAGCCACCTGATTGAAAACTAGCAGATGTAGCACCAGTAGCCTAGGGTGGGGCAAAAAATTAGCAGCTAGCAAGCTTTTATCTAAGTCTGATGAACTGCATAAGGTAATGAGAAAATGTACCTGCTATATTTTGTTCTTTTGGATGCTTTATTAGGGAACTTAACTCATGTGAAAGCAAATGATTTTAATCTGATTGCACTAATGAAGTCTGTGTCTAGAGGGGACAACTGGACAGGGAATGGACAAGGATGTGGGTGTCAGGAATAGTGACTGTAGTGACTGATTGCTACTGTTTTCTGAAAGGCTTTTCCCATAAAGGGCCTTGGAAGAAAGTAGTCTCTGACCCCACAGCTTGAGCTTCCTTTACCAAGCGCTGGCATAGGCTGAAAACTGAGGTGGGAAGTGTTCATGAGTAAATCGATACGTGATTGTGCTTTTTTTACTGCAGCATGTCAGGGATTCCAGCATGCTTGCTTGGTTCGGCTCAGTCGAAAAACGTCAGAGGTGGCATCAAAGCGTAAGTCCTGTTTATGCTGTTTGGGACTGCAGGCCCTAATGCAGCTGTATTTGAGAGAGGTGAATTTGTCATCTTACAAACTCTCGGTCCTGGCTCAGGCCTTGAACCTGCAGTCAGTAATAGTGCCTGCGTTTACCCACAACGAGCATTTGGGAGGCATAGAGCCACCCTCCTGTGCCCTCTGCCTGGGGAGGGGGGTTATTGATTCAGCTTTGTGCTGTGGTTTGTGCAGGAATCACAGGTCTTAAACCTGTATTTGTCGCAGAGTCAACACAGCAGCACTTTCCAGCCCTAAAGGCTGGTAAATCTCTCTCCTGTCGCACTGTTTACTGCTCTGTTTTCCTACTGATCTGGAATGCTTTACGCTATCTTCATTTCCTTCCTTCTGTTGCGTACTCAGAAGTCTGTCTGTGATCTCATTTACATCTAGATAGTCACGATTTCATTTTGGTTGGTTGGGTTGTCTGGGGGGTCTCCTTCTGTGACAGAGTATTTTCTTGGTGTTGCAGAGGTCAATACAGAGTCATATACATGACACCCGAGTTCTGCTCAGGGAATTTAGACCTACTTCAGGATCTTGACCAAACTATTGGTAAGCTGGGGGTAAGGTTGAGGATGAGGGGGCAGGCCTTCATTTCATGATTAACTTTTTAAATGGTGTGACAACTTTATGCCTGTTTCTCGCCACTAGTGAGCTTGGAGGCTAATGTATTGGCTGCCAAAAGACAGTGTCAAAAGATCCATTATAGTATCTTAACTTGTCAGATTTTCTCAAAATACAGCAATAAAATTCTGTTTTGAAACACTATTGCATCTTGGTAAGTTTTGTTGAACAGAATGTTGCAGCTCATACATCATCATAACAGTAGTGTAAATCCTAGGTAGATAACACAGAAAAAAAAAGTCTTTGTTTAGGGAGCTGAGTTTGTAGACCTGCAGACAAGTAATACTGCTCAGGAAGATGGTGAACAATCTGAATGTCTGGAGTTCTGGGAAGCTTATGCTTACGCTTGGCCTCTCTGACACCAGTGCACTTTGAACATGTCAATTAGAATGCTGTATCTGGACTCAGGTAAAGGAGTTTTTTGATTTAGAAATGGCAAGGATATTTTCCAGGCACATCTTTTGACACTTCTCATCTGGTATTTTTCTGAACTTATATTTGGTTCCTCAATACAGTCCTGAGATTCTCAGGCTTTGTTTTACAACCCAGGAAACTGGTGATATCTGTAAACAGTATTTTTGACAAGTAGTAAGGCAGTTTGGAAAGGAGAAAAAAAAAAAGGGCATAACCATCAGTAATAGTTTGTGAATTTGACCCTTTGTAAGTGATGTGTTGGAGATTTGAAGCTTGGATAAGGAAGGAGAAGTGTATGGGGGGGGGGGGGGGGGGGAGGAATCTGTTAGAGCTGTTTCATCTAATTTGTACCCAAAAAAAGCCCTATATAAAAATGGTGGTTTATTTGCCATGTAAGTATTGCATCCATGCTGTGGTTCTGTCCCCACCAGGTATTACCCTTATAGCTGTTGATGAAGCTCACTGCATTTCTGAATGGGGCCATGACTTCAGAAATTCCTTCAGAACCTTAGGCTCACTAAAGAAGACTCTGCCAATGGTAAGGTTTTCAGAGGTCTTTGATTTCCAATGTAAGAGGATACAACTTAATTTCACACAATAGCTTGACATTTTATCACTTTATGTTACTCTTTGGGAGTACTGACCGTGCTGTTTTTGGGAGCTTGTGCAAGTCCTTGCTAGTGAGTGAACTTCATTGTGGTTTTGATCTTTTTTTACAAATCTTTAAATAGAGGATATTCTGAACCTGGACTACCAAAACTTCTGAAAAATAATTACTTTTGTTGGATCCCTGTGTGCTGAAAGGTGTTGATCCTAAGCTCCTGGTTTACTTGCAAGGACAAATAGTTAAAACTTCCAAATGCGTTCCAAAAGCATTTATTGGATAAACTTCAAAACTTAGACCTGAACTTCAGATCCTATTCTTGAAAATTTTCCCTATGTGTTCCCTAACCTTAGCCAATTGCATCAGAAAATTGTGCAGACTCACAGAGATGCAACTAAAGATAGGAATTAAGAAGATTCTGTACATTAAATGTTCTGCCGATGTCTACCCTCCTTAACCGTGCAGACCAGAGCTCCAGGACGCGAAATATTAATTGTTTTCCAAATAGCTGAGCTGATCCAGTGAACATAATCAGATTAAAGTGCCTGTTTACATGCTAATCAGTTTTGACTTGTGATCTTAAATCATTGAGAGGTATTGGACTTTTGCTGTCTTTTTATTTCAGGTCCCCATTGTTGCTTTAACTGCCACTGCAAGTCCCTCGATTAGAGAAGACATAGTGAATTGCCTGAATCTGAAGAATCCCCTGGTCACATGTACAAGCTTTGACAGACCGAACCTGTACTTAGAAGTTGGACGACAGAGTGGAAATATGATTAGGGATTTGAAGCAATTCCTTACTAGGAAAGGAAGGTAAGGATTTAAGCCTGTTTGGTGTTGTTCTGTCAGATTTTAAAGTATTAAATACCAAGGTATCAGTAGGGTGTACTAAAAACTGTCACCAGTCTTCAAATGATCTGGTGAAGAGGTGCCTGGACTCTCTCCCTAGTCATTCATCATGTTCTCCCCCCGGCCCTTTATCTTCCTTCCCTAGTTTAAAAAAGGTTTTGAGGCAAAGAATTGTGGTATCCCACTGTTTGCATGTTGTTCACTGTAGGATTTTCAGGATTGTTTTATACTCAGGAGACCTGCCAGCACTCCAGCAATTTGACCAAGAGTGATGTATTAGCTGGTGGGTTCCTTCCTAAACAATAGCGTGGGTTGATAACTAATCTAAAATAATTTTTTTTGCGGTATTTTTTTCTGAGAAGGCTGATCTAGCAGTCCTTTTCTGTTAGTGGACCCACCAGTATACCCACAAGAGTGGGTTTCCTGCCACTTTCATCTCCTTGTCACAAGCTACAGTGTGTGACTCTACAGCAATATAAATAAATCTCATAGCTCATTTGTATGCTATTACATAAATGTAGACCTTTTAAGTGGCATCTGTAAAAGTTTGTTTCCTGATGATTTTCAGGGAACTGGGAGGCCTTATGCTGCTACTTCTCCAGCATGGACCAAAATTTGTGTTTTGCAAGACACAAGACTGCCAAGTCTGCTTTTCCAAAGGACAGACAAATTGTAAACAAGTACTACCTTTTTGTAAAAGGGGCGAAATGCCTCCTTTTTCTTGCTTTGCAAAGAGCTCTTCATGTGCTGTGAAGTCTGGAGATCAGTCTCAAGCACTGAGAGCTGTGTGCAAGCAATCTAGGAGCACAAATATATTTGATCCAATAGCTCTGTGGGAAGATGCTAAGCTGGCTTTAATCTATGGTGCTTCTGTATGTAGTGATGACATTTCATGCTAATTGTGGTATTATCTCTGCATAACGTATTATCTGATCTGTTTAAATCTCCAAGATGATGAGTTGCTGCAGAAAGCTGTGTTGCTTTTTCAATTAGGGTCAAGCGGAGTTTTTGCCAAAGGGTCACTTCATCTGTTCTGCATTTTAACATGTTGCTATTACTTTTAGCAGTTCTGAGTATGAGTTTGAAGGCCCTACCATCATCTACTGCCCTTCAAAAAAGACCACAGAAAAAGTTGTGTCTGAGCTGACTAAACTGAATGTGCCCTGTGGTGCGTACCATGCTGGAATGGGAATTCAAAAAAGGAGAGAGACCCACCACCAGTTCATGCGGGATGAAATTCAGGTACCTAGGAAACTAAGTCTGTGTTTTCTTATTTATAATTGCAGGGTTTCCAGTAGGGGAAAGAATTTGGGAAGATCATTGATTCCAATTTACTTCGTATATTCTCTGTTCTGGGCAAGAAATTGCTGGCCTGTGCTGCCAGCAGTATGGTTCCTGGCTTATGTTTCAAATTCCTCTAGTAAATCTCTTAAAATACATAGCATGTAAGGAAGATGGTGGCAACTGGAACAATGTCCTCCAACATCCTGTGAGCTGCTTTCATCCTGTAGCTGAGCAGGCAGAGAGCTATCCTGGGGCTTCTGTTGTTCTTCAGGACAAGTTTTGTCACCAGTTTGAGGATAACTACCTGAAAATACTCAGGCATTTACCATCATGTAGCATTACTCATGACTGTAATCCAGTGCTCATGCTGTGACCCAGATCAGGCTCCTTGTTACCAGTGAAGTAGAAGCCAAATGAGAATTTGAGGCCGTTGTATTTTAGGCTGAATTTTGAGTCATGGCAAGAAGTTGTCACCAACAGTGCAAGTGCTAGTAGCAACCCAAACATATTTCTGATGTTCTTTTCAAAACTTATGCTGTGTGGCTCCTGTTTTGTAGTGTGTTGTGGCTACAGTGGCGTTCGGAATGGGCATCAATAAAGCAGATATCCGGATGGTTATTCATTACGGTGCCCCTAAGGAAATGGAATCCTATTATCAAGAAATTGGGAGAGCTGGTCGCGATGGGCTTCCTGCTTCTTGTCATGTCTTGTGGGCTGCAGCAGACTTGACTTTTAACAGGTAAGTAACTGAAGACAGCTGCTTCGGCATAGATAGCCAAAAGGTATCCAAAGAAAGAAGCAGGAAGGGTTTAGTTGAAATCCTCGTGGATTTGTTAGCATAATTCCAAGTATTTTTTTGCATGCATTCAGTACTGGATACTAAGTATGTTGTATTTATTCTAGATGATGTTAACATTACCATACTTGTCTGTTGAGTGTCCTTGTTCCCGTTCTGCTTCCTGAAAATGTATTGCAAGGCAGACAGTGATGAAACTTGGTCATTTGTTCTGTAAATCCTCTGACTTGTTTATAGACCTCTCTACAGCACCCAAACTCCTAAAGGGCACTGAATTTTTTCCTTCTCTCCTCTCTCTCAGGAAATCCTGATAGTAGAGGTCTCTTGTTGATGTTGTTAGCCAGTGTAGGATTGCAGAAATGTCTTAGCTCAGTCTTTGGAACTTGTGTGACCAGACTGCCAGGCTGTGAAGCCATGTACTTCTCTGTTCTTTCTTTTCCAAGCAGGCAGAAGCTTGCCTCTTCCCAAGGTTAGCTGGAAATGGTGTAGCTGCATTAATGTGAAGCCCAACACCTGCAGTACTGGTTTGTTTTCCATGCCTTGTGTGACAGAGAGCATGGTGCAGGTGGTAGCTCAGGTTTGGCTCATGCGGCAGCTCAGAGCATGGGCAGAGTGAGTTCTCCATATGCCTGCTATTTTTTTCAGTTGGATGCTTCCAGTGACTATTGTAAAGGCTACTACTTTAGGCATTAGGTAGATGTGCCCCAGCATACTGCCACTGAATCCCTTAAAAGGAAGGTGGTTAATATACTAGCATGGCTTGTAATCTGGCAGTAGCATCAATCGCATCAATCAGAATTTAACAGATCTTATCTGGAAAACGAGAGGCTGAGTGAAATTGCCCTCTGCCTCTTCCTCCCTGCTCTGTGGCTTTCAACATGGATTTCTGAAGCTTAGTAGTTTGTGGTGCTAAAAGAAGCTCAGTCTTTCCTTCTGCCCAGTTTAGAATAATTGTCCTTGTAGGAAAGCATGAGCGTGGTGTTCTGACTGTGCCCCATGCTGTAATGATCCAGATTATAGAGAAACAGGCAGGTAGCTCGGGTCTGGCTTCAGGAGGATATTTTCTCCAGCTGTTTCCAGTGAACCTGGCTGAGACAGTCTGTGATTCTTCATTGTTGGTATGGCACAGGGGGGTAGTTGTCAATACTTACGGTTCTTCACTTTTTATTTTGACCGACAGACATCTTCTAACTGATATACGCAGTGAAAAGTTCCGATTGTACAAACTGAAGATGTTGGAAAAAATGGAGAAGTACCTTACCTCAAATAGCTGCAGGAGGAAGTGAGTACTGCACTTCATTACATGTTTTGTATAGCTTCAGTCATTGTGACTCGGTCACAAGGGTAAACTGTGGCCATGAGGCCTCTTCAATATCAAGAAATACAGCCTTTGGTGTATTTATACAGATGTATCAAGTGTTCCTTATTTACTTCTCAAGGAAAAAAAAAATCCTTTTCTTTAGAGGAATCAGGGCCAAGTAATTGGCTCCCCAGTGAATTAATTAATGATGCTGATTTCAGCTCTGTTTTCTGCGATGAATTTAATGTAAATTCTTGTTCTTTTATTTAATTCCCTTCTTTCCCTTGGGTAGAATCATTCTGTCTCATTTTGAAGACAAACAGCTCCGAAAGGTCTCCTCTGGCATCATGGGCACGGATGACTGCTGTGATAACTGCAGGTGCAGGTAAGCATTCTTCCCTTAAGACTGATACAAGAGGTTATGTTCTCTCAGGCTGACTTACAAGGCAAATTACCTGAAAGAATTGACTTTTTATGCATTTGGTTTTGCAGATGTTCAGCCTGAAGCTTATCTTTGTTTGAACAGCTGTCCCTAACTTGCTACTCAATAACTGAAGAAGCTGTGAGGCAGGTTATAAGCAATAAGTTATGCTTTGGGAAAGCCTGTAAATAAACTGTGGCCACAGTTCCCCAAGTGGTTTAAAGCAACTTTCTCAGGCTGTGAAATACACAGTGGTTCATCACTTTGTAAGTCCTGTTGAGTAATTGATCCCAAAAGAAACGCCTTGAAAGCGGGATGTGGTGCCATGTGTCTAAGGTTAAATGGCCAGAGTGTTAAGGGAGCTGCTCTCCTCTTAAAAGTGTGTGCTGACACACGTTCTTTCTGGTGCTGGTAATAATCTCGGATGTGCTGAAGGGAAGCCAGGGGGTCAGGAGTCAGTAGTCACACAGCTATGAGCAGAAACACTTTCCTCCAGCTGTGGTGTGTGTATACATGCTCGCTTTCCCTGAAGCTGTAATAAGTGATTCCTTGTTCTTACTGATCGCATAGTCCTTTATGATCAGAGATGAGATGTTACAGTGTGTTGCTCTTGGCAAAAAAAGTTACGAGCTCGCTTACACTTCCTATATGCTCTAGGATTAAGGAAGTTTTGTCTGAGCCCTGCCAAAACTAACCAGTTTTGGACTAACCAGTAACACAGTGAATTTGTTACATAACTGAAATTATTTGGAATATAGAACATCGTCCTTCTCCATTTTTTGTAGTGATTTGTGCCAATAATTTTTTTTCCAGTCAGTAACACGTGTAGTAACAAGCCATAGAAAAAAAAATAGAGTTGCTGTTTCCTTCAGTTGTTTCCATTTTGTGTGTGTTTATTGGGGAGAGGAAAAAAAATCTCTTGGCTATTAAATGCAACTAAACAAAGTCTGATGCCAAAGACAGTCCAAATATTTAAACACTGAATTCGGAAGATTGCTGAGATGACACTGTTCTGTTGCAGCAAGTACCATGAAGAACTGTTTAGTGTTTGGACATGCAGTTGGGTTAACTGTGTTTGATCTTGGTTTTGGCTTCATCTCGCACTTTGAATCTTAGTTCTTTATGCTTAAAGGCATCTTTATTTGCTCACATAAACATAAACTGAGGTGTGTGTTTTATTTGGTTACCACTTGCTAAATGATCTTTGAAAGAAGGGAGGGAGGACTTGGTTTGTATATGTATATTTCCCTTGTGCCTTTCAGAACCTCCTGTCTTGTGACCCCCAGTGACTCAGAAGGAGGCTTGCAGGACTTTGGACAGCAGGCCTATCAGCTGCTGTCTGCAGTGTGCGCCCTGGAAGAGAAGTTTGGAATTAAAGTTCCCATTTTGTTTCTACGAGGATCTGTAAGTGATATTACAAATCATGGTGTGTGCTCTGAGAGCAGAGGGGCCATTAAGGTGTCCAGACCATTTATTGATACACCAAACATTACATTGATGCACATTTATATTTTTAGTACCTTTTTCTCCCAGTAGATAGATAACTGCAGAGAGGTAGGATAAATTTCCTGAAGCTGTCCAGCACCACTTCCCATGCAGCCTTTAAATGCAACAGGAATAAAAAAGCTGCAAAAGTCCTAAGCATGTTGTACTTTCCTCTTGTGCAGCTACAACGAAGGAACAGCTGCTGTCTCCAATCTCTTGCTGTCTTGGCTCTTTTTCTAAAAGGTATAACGTGCACCCTCATATGGCCCAAGAGCTTAGCTTAGAAACAGTGTGTTATTTGCACTGGACAGAGCTGTCCTGTGTTTTGTGGGTTACTTGGAGTAGGTTATTGGCGGTTGACTATTAACCCAAATATTGGCAGGGGTTCTGAAGCTCTTCCTGTAAGTCTTCAGCCCTTATGCTCTTTATGGTGAGTTTAATGTCTTTGCAGAGACACTTAAGTGGCTTTTCTGTGAAGACTCATCCCTTCTGTTGTCCTGGAAGGAGTAACCTCTTCAGAGTTAGACCAAACAGGTCTCTGCTTGGTAATCTGTTGGTTTATGTTTGAATAAAGCACGCACTGGCTTGTGTTCTGGCTTTGTACTGCTGACTGACTCGCAGCAGTGAGACAGGAAGTAGCATATTAGAGGAGTATGAGTATAAATCATCTATGAATATCTTCACATGCAATGCTTTTAAAATACTGGGGAGGAATGCACCAGACATAAAACATGGGCATAAGAACAAAATCACTTCAAATGTTTACAGCCCAGAAAAAAATCACCTGCAGTACCTGATAACACTCAGGGAATGATGTCACAGCAGCTTTTTTAATAAAAGTAATTGTCACGTAAGTGTGGCTAGGATAAAAATACATTGTAAACCATTTATAATGGTGTTTTTTATATATATATATATATATATATATATGTATGTATGTATGTTATATATATAACCATAATATATTTGTTAGCCATTTATAACACAGACGTTAACAATCCAAGCAACTTTCAATTATTAGACGTTACTGGCAGAATTGACACTCATGCCAAATCGGCACTGCAAATATGGAATAACTTCTTATTGCTTTCAAGAATACATTTTTTCTGGGCTAACATACATTTTTTAAAGCGTTTTTCTTTGCTCTATTGCCTCAGTTTGACCTCTAGAAGAAATGTATGAAATATTCTCTCAGTGCCACCATAAGTTAAACATATCTGTCTGAAGATGATGGGTGTATTATTTTAAGAGATCACATAGCTTCTGGAGAATTGATGTGTTTTTTTGTTGTTTGTGTTTGTTTGTGTTTTTTTTGTTGTTGTAAATTAGTGGTATCTTTTTCCACCAAGTAAGTCCAGGTGACCTCCAACAGACTTCAGGTGGACCACAGGGGAGGCCAAGTTTCACTTAATATTTGAAAGCTGAGTCAGACTGAACAAGGTTTCCCTCTGGGAAACCTTGAACTAGAAATACATTAATAGAAATATTATACTACCATTCTAAACCAAGAAGAATGTGATATTTAAAATGTGCATCGTTTATCAGCAACCAGGAATTTATAGTTATGTCAACAATGATTTTATTGTTATTAATAGTCTTCATGACTCATTGCAAATGGCTTTTAGTAGTAACTCTAACATTTAGTAATTTCTAAGTAGTTAAAATTGCAAGTGTGGCGTAGGACTGACTTGTCAGAAGCCAGAACACTATGACATTTGTCCCAAATATGGAAAAAAAAGTTTATTGTTCTGCATCTTATTCCTTTTATAGAAATTTCTATTGTTAACTTGCTCTTAAAGTTAAGACTCCGTTCTGAAAATGTGCAGCCATTGGAGTAGTTAATGTAGCTGGCATAACTGAAAGGAATGTTTCCAGCTTTAAAATAATGCGTGTTATGAGTTGAATGAGGGCTGTCTAGACACGAGGATGCAGGACTTGGCTTTTTTTGCCTTTGGAGGAGGTGACTGCCTTGAGTTCAGTCAGGGCTTAGTGCCCTGGTCCCATGCAGCAGTGAGGTGAGTCTCTCCTCCACGTGGTTCCCATGCCCTGCTGCCAAAGGGGTGCCACAAGCCCCTCTTCCTGCTGCTCCCCTCCTGCATTTGCTGGACAGGAGCTCCCTGGCTGCCTGAAATTCTCTAGAGTGCTCTTCCCTGTGGTCCCAGGAGATGTTAGGAAGCTCAGCAGGCCTTCCTGTTTTAACCACAGCCTTTCCTGCATCTTGTATTTGTCTTTCTCTGCTCCTCTGCATCAGCCTGTTCTGTTCTCCTTTGTAAAGCAAAACGGGCTCTTAAGGGTAGGAGACCTGTGTTTGTATGGCACCTAGCACAAAGGTGATTCCAGAAGAAGTGCCAACAGGCATCTGGAAAGCCTACATGAATGAGTCCTGTAAATGCAGAAGGCAAGCCTCCACACCACTGTCCCCTGTTGTCTGAGATTATAACGTAGTCATCTTGCATATCACAATACGCTTATTTATAGCATACGTTTTTAAATCTTATGTATGTTAGAAATAGCATACTATATAATGTATGCAAATATTCGAGTCTTTGTATACACTAGAGCATATGTTTAGTGTAAATATATTTGTGTAATCCAAAAAATGTAGTTCTGTAGACCATGTAGTCTTCCCTAGGGGAGGAGACACTCAGCAAAACAGCAAATACAGGGTCTGGAGCATGACCTCCTGTTTCTTATTCTAGCAAAAAACAAAACATTAAAACTTCTTTGTCTGAGACTCTTTGACCTGCTATCACTTGATCCTCTGTTACTTCCCTCTTTCAGAAACGTTCTCAGCTTTTCAGACTGTCAGAGTTTCCCTTCCTCTGAAAGGGGCTTTAAGCCCTCTGCAGTCTGTTTGGGTCTTTATGGGATGAGAACCTATTACAGAGGATCTCATTGGCTTTTTTCCCCCCAGTGTGGACCACTAGTAAGGGATGAGGAAATAGGCAACTTTGTCAAAACAAAAAAATCTTTGAAGGCCAAAACATTACAACAGGGAGCTGAAGTAGAGGAGGAGCCATAGAGCAGGTATCTGTAGTCAGCTTGTTGCAGGCTCTTCACCCTCATCACATCCTGGGATTTAAACAGGCTTTTATTTTTTTTTTTTTGGTTGACCTATTTGCTTTTTCTTTAAGTTTTTAAATTAAAAATACAGGTAATGGCTTCTACTCAAACTCAATTCTTAGATATTCAAACCTAGTGATGTATTAAATGGGTCTGAGATTGCCCTGAACAGGTTAAATACAAACTGCACTAATGTGTTTTCTTTTTTTTTCCTTTAGTGCCTTGAGTGGCTGGGTTGTTCCTGTAACTTCCTCTATGTGCAGAAGTGGAGATATTTTAATAGTGTTATAACCTCAGTGTAGTTCTGTCTGGGGGTTTGCTTCAAAATGAGCTTACTGGTTGTGATCTTTTTAACAGCACAGAAGTGGGTTAGGTTAGCAAAGGTGAGAACGCTCTTCAAGCAACGTGGACAAGGCAACAGGAGCTGTTGTAAATGTGGTTACTGTGGGGGGTGTTATATAAACTTGAATAAATGTTTTTGGCTTGTGACTTCACAGGGAAGTTCTTCTGTGAAGGTATGTTCTTGGAGACACCGTCATATCTCAGGATATATCTCACTGGGTATATTGGAAACTTCCTTTCACAAAGGCTGGAGAAGCCTGACCAGTTCTCTCAATTTCAGAGTTCGCAGCGTCTGCCAGAGAGGTACCGAAAGCATCCTCTGTACGGTAGTGGGAAGGACTGGACAGAAAGCTGGTGGAAGTCACTCTGCCAACAGTTGATAATGGAAGGATTCCTCAAAGAAGTCTCTGGGCAGAACAAGTATATGACCACGTGTGGGCTTACCCAGAAGGTACTTCTTGGTGTGAGGCTACCCATCAAAGACTTCTGAGTAATCTATAGCTAAGCCATATGTTGTTTTTTGTTTGTTTGTTTTTTCTTTTCTTACAGGGAAGAAATTGGCTTTTGAAATCTGGATCTACGTCAAATCCAAGTCTTCTGTTACAGTCCAATGAAGACTTAAACCTACAAAGAACTCCCAGAAGGTACTTACAGTATGCATGTCCTCTTGAGCACCTTACATTATTTTAACATCAGATCGGTCTCTGAAGCCTGCTTCTCAAGATGGCAGGTTTGACAGGAAATTGCTGCATTAGACTTTGCAGCCAAACCTTTTCCCGTATGCAGTAACATAATATTTTAAAGTCAGTAAATCAGGTGAAGGTAAGAAACATCAGAGGAAAATCTGCCAAGATTTACCTTCTTTTTAATGCTGATGAGTTATACCATGAGTCTTTAACTAGAGCAGCTGAGAGTTTTTTCTCTGTTTTGCACTTGACCTACATTTTCATAAAAGTTAGCTTTTCTGCTTCACATTCTCAGCCTAGGCACTACATGCCTGTGTTGTAACAAGAATTGCTTCAACATAAATGTGTAATGGTTTGTCTGACCTTGTGTATTTTCTGAAATTTTAACTTTCAAAAGTCTTGGTGAGTATAACTGCAAAAGCGCTGTGTGTTGTCAGTGGTGGTCAGCCGATTTGCCATCGGAGCGTATGGCTTCATGAAAATGGCATGTGAAGTTTTGCTTGTGATCTTCCGCTTCACTGTGAAGTATAACTCATTTTGTTGGTCTTCTTAAATATGAATTTAGGCCAACTCTCTTTGAAGTGCAAGGTAAAGAACTGAAGGCAGTGGAGGCTTTGCTGTGACAACAAATACTGTTAGAATGAAGCTCTTCAGTGTTGGCCTTTGGACACGTCTTCAGATGTCTAGATTGTAATTACCTGATTGATTTACTTTTAAGCGACACGTTGTCAAAGTGCCAGTTTTCTTTTGCCTTCTCTAATTTTCTATTGTGACTTTTTAGCTAGTCTGCAGGTCTTTTAGAAGAATAAAAGCACTTGTTTGTTCATAAACAGTAAAAAGTGGCTAAAAGTATATGCTTAGTGCAAACCAGAAAGTTGATACTTGTATGTTTTCTCCAGAAATGGGATTTTTAAAATTGAATCTTTCTATCAAGACAGCATTGTCACAGAACTTTGATTTCTGCCATCAGAAATCCTTGTCTCTTTTGTAAGACAAGATTCTTGTTCCACGTTAAAGTTTTAGTATTTTGCGTGGGCTTTGAGGTCCTTGGTGTTTCCCTGGAAATGGTGTTTCTAATAACTTTAATAATGATAAGGAAATGTGATTTAACAAAAATTTACCTGTACAAAGTTCCATTCAGTTTGCGTAGCAAAATAATAACTTTTTTTCAAATGGCAGCATGCAAACAATTCAGTCTGATTTGAGTAAGATAGGATTATTTTTTTATTACAACAGTAAATCTTCACCTGTGGCATCGGCGCAGGGCTCCCAAAGCACAAAAAGAACAAAGCAGTCACCAGGCAAGCAGGTCAGTATGGTTACAACTCCTCTTGTGTTTTTACCCATCCTTGTTCGTATTAAAAACCTTGCAAGTGTGTCATGGCATTGCAAATGTACATTTTGCTGCTTACAGCAACTTCATTTAAAATACTGTTAAATTAGCATTTGTCTGTCTTCTTCTGTGTTTTATAGATGTCTTTGTATGAAATGTTTTCATATGAGAAAAAAGATGGAATATCCCCAAGAAGGAATACTGTGCTTAACAGGTACACTATTCTAAACTAAAACAGAATTACGAAGTTCTGACTACATAATAGAAGTATCATTGGTGATACAATCCTTAAAACCAGTACACTGCTTTGAAGTGACCATCAAAATGTTTTGACTGCAAGTAACTAGTATTTAAAAACAAACAAACAAGACTTTAAAAATGTCATTGTTTCAAAACATTGAGCTGCAACATTTAACAAGCTTTGCAGAATTTGTCAAGATGTGTTAAGCTTAAATACTTCTAGTGTGTCATAGGCAAAGCAAGTTTTATTAACTGTGAAATGTAAACTTTAACTGGTTTTACTTCAAATCCAATAGCAAGAAAAATAGAAAAATGTTAATTAAAATGGAGTGATTGCAGCTTTATATTACTGTGGCCATTTATTTTCAGTCAGTATTTTCTATGTGGTGGTTGAAACTGTAATTGATTTTAAATTGTGATTTAGACAAACTGAGAATAATTGCTTTCAATTAAATGTAATTAAGCTAAAACATGATAAGTTGTGACACTGTCTTAAGACTGGCAGAACGGAACATGTTCCCTGTGCAGTCATTGTGAGCAAGCATATAGGTTTAGGTTTCTGCCCTTTTATTCTCTTCTGAGATCAAGTTGAGGCTTTGTGAGGTTAAAGAATAAAACAAGCTTTTGCAAAGGGCAAAGTAATTTGTTCTTGAGGATTGTGTAGCGCTTCAGATCACGCTGACCTTGCATTTTGGAGCAGTTCCATTCTTTCAGACAAGCAGCCTGATGCTGGCAGAAAATGGGAGAACCAGATGTCATTTAAGCTGAGAAACTGTCACTGTAGCCACATGGAGAAAAATTTTCTAGGGACAGCTACAAACTAAAACAGGTTATTTTGCACTTTGCTTAGCAAAGCAAGGAAAAGACACTCTTGTTCTAGTTCTTCTATTTGCAGATACTGCACTGCAATGATGGCAGTCTAATTGGAGGTAGTATTCCCCAAACACATGAGTCTGCTAGCTGTGATGCTGCTCTCTACAGACATACCTAGTAGTAACAGTAGCTTATTTTGCTTACAGTATGGCAGCTGTGAGCTTGTCACTGATGCTTTTAAAGTTATTAGCTCTTTCTAGCAAAGATCAATATTACTGGGCATGGGTAGAAATTCAAGTGATTTTGGTGGGATGTGGTCAGAACAATGTTATGAATGGACTGTAAGAATACACTTTTGCTAATAATACAGAAACCCAGGTGCAGTTAGGGACATAGGTGGCTTGCTTACTGTTTGATTTTTGTGCAGCAAAAGATTATTTTTAAGTTATAGGACTAGCCGCTGAGGAATTACGTTAAATTTGGCCTTGGGGTACTGCTAATTCTGCCCAAATTAGTTCAAGTCCTTTATCAGTGCACCTGGTAGCTTGAGGAGCTGGGCCACAGTCTGACTGTGCTGTCAAAGAGCAGGCCAAAAAAAGTCAGGCTGCTGCTCTCTTACAGCCCAACATGCAAAGTTCATGAATAAATTAATAGAACACAAGGTCTGACTTCTCACTTCGTTATCTTTCTTTTAGTTTCCCAGAACACTCACCTGTGAGATCTCCTTTGAAGTCCCGAGAACCTGTTTCATCTCCAGAAAAAGAACTACAGGTGAGTCTTTGGAAGAGAGGATATCTGTGAATTGCAATCAGCCTGAAGAGCACAGTCCCACTGTATTGAAGAAACTCGCTTGGGCAGCTTGTAATAGTACAAAAATGTCTTGAAAAGGAGCCCTGAAAGAGAATTTTCAGTATGAAGATTGTTAAGGGATTGTAGGCTTCTTGTGTATTAGTGGAAAGATGAGGGAAGCTTTAATTTTACCTCTCATATTTGAACTATTCCTACGTGCCTGATCACAAGCTTCTTTCTGAGAATTTGTCTCTCTTCTTCATAGACTGCTCTGTATGGCAAGCTGTTGACTGCTAGACAGAAGGTGGCTAATGAGAAGGCAGTTCCTCCAGCTGTCTTGGCAACCAACAAGATCCTGGTGGAGATGGCCCGAATAAGGTAAAGCCAGCATGCATGCCGTTTAGATAAACTCAAAAAACAATTGCAAGCCAAATCACAATTTCTCTTTCTGCTTTTGGGAGTTTGCCTCATTGGTAAAGGAGCAGCATTTTTCCCGAGGACTTTATCATAATACCCTTGTAAAACACTTACTGGTGTAAGTTAAATAGCCATTAATGTTAAACTCTTCTCTTCATGATAGTTCTTATTTAAAAAAAAAAAAAAAAAAAAAAGCCAACTTTGCATATGTCTCTGTAACTAAGCCTTCTGTCAGCTTGACGGTCGTGGAGGGAAAGGTGCATGTTGTCTGATTGTTACTTGTCCAACTGCTCTCCAGTGTGTTTTAATCATTCTGCTATGTTCATACCTGGTAAGGGTTACAAGAGCATTCAGGTCAGGAGCTGTCCCTTACCTTGCACAGGTAGCTCTGTAGCAGAAAAGAAGAACCAAAATTTTGTGTTGCTCTTGACTACTGAAAGGAAAAGAAAGAAAAACACTTTCTTCATTGCAAGAGAGGGTATTGTGGGGCAGCTCGGTGTTTAATGCATCTGAAGAGCCCTCCCCAGCTGATAAAAAGCATTAGGTAAACTGTTTGGAAGGGATATGTTCTTCCACGCATCTCTAGGCTTATATATTTTTAGGAGGTAAAAGCAAATAAATAACAGATGTAGCTAACGTCCTCTGAGGTATTAGGCAGCAAACCTGAAATTTTTGCTGTGGTCAAGCTTCAAGATACAGAAGTGCAAACAGTGAAATGAATTAGTTCCAGAGATGATAGTGCAGTAAAAATATTTTTAAGTAGTTATTACTAGATCTGCAGCTCTAGCACATATCATTCAGGCACTTGATGTTTCAAAGCATCAACATAGGATGGTTCCATGGCTTTTATTATTCATCCTGAACCAGGCCTACAACTGTTGAGAATGTGAAGAGGATTGAAGGTGTATCTGAAGCAAAATCAACCATGTTGGTCCCTCTCCTGGCTGAAATTAAGGACTTCTGCCAAGCGAATGGTTTGCAGGTATGATTTACTAAAGTGTCTCCTACCATGCAAGAGCACTAAAAGACAATTTGGTCTGCAGCTGTCGGATTTCTCCTTCAGGGTTTGTCCTTGTCACAGCTTTCCCATCCAAACAGAGCAGCCAAACTGTTAGCCTTGTTTACAAATAGGCCTTCTACATCTGAACGTGCTACGTGGTGATAACGTGAGGATCTGGATGATGTTATAAGTGTAGTCATCTTGAAAGTCCAGGGTGTACTTGTAAAGACCACCCACTTAGCAGGGCAGAATATCCAACCAATGCCGTATTACTGAGAGCTTGCAGCTAGTTTAGTGATTTTTGGGCTGGAGTCCAAAGGTTTAGGAAATGTTCTCTCACCAGTTTATTGCTTCAGTAGACTCTGAGAGCAGGACTCAAGTTTGCTTCTGTAAATTTCTCCTTAGGAGACTGACAGAGATAAGAAGCTTTCTGGCTTTCGTGAATACTCTGCTCTGTTTTCGTAGTTGGTTTTACTTCTGTCTGAGATTTTCTGTAAAGTGGCTCCTCATCGCTCTTGCCCTTGGAATGGCAAGAGACTCCGCTAGGGTGGGGCTGTGGAGCACAGGACTGGAGGAGCTGTGCAGCTGTTTATCTTTGGGGGGGGTTGAATTTCCCTGTCAAACTACGGGGATTTAGATGTCTAGAAAGCTTCTTCCTCAACATCAAACTATTGGGTATGGGGACTGCAAGCATCCCTGTTTTTCATTAAATCTGTGATAAGCAAAAATTTAAAATAAATGGAGAAACTTCCTATACAAAACAGCAGACAGAATACTGTAGTTTGTTCTGATGGAATAGTTTTACATATGTCATAAGAACTAAGAAGTTTTGTGTTGATCTGGACACTTTTTGGGGGCTTTTTTGCAAGACTCTTGACCAGTTCCATGCTTTTTATTAAGATGGAGTATGTGGGTGTCCATCCTGATTCCCTCTCTGCTTTCTTTTTGTGGAACATGGAATTGGGGTCAAAACCAACCTGCTCAGAGATGAAATTCTGAAGAAATAACAGAGTTATTCTTCAGAAAATGGCAGGGTGATTCATTGGTTGTTACTGAGTTATAATCCTTTTACTCCTCTTTATCTTACTCAGACGGACGCGTTCCCTACAGATCAGAAAGAGGCATCTCACCGGAAGCATGCTAGAGCCCTTTCTCCCTCAGAACATGTCACATATGTCTTGTTCCAAGACAAAAATCTCTCCGTGGTAAGTTTCTCCCTGTGGAGGTCTCTTCCTTTTTGAGAACTAATGGTGGGGATATTTTGTTGTGGTAAGGATTTTGCAAATGTTTTCTCTTAAATCCTCTGCTAGGTTTTAGTTCCACCTAGTTCTGTATCTTTGCCCTTAATACTGTGAGAAGAAAAAAAAGAACTTCCTGATCAGGTAGCCTGCTGGAAAGGGTAGTCACCAGCTTGAAGTGTGTCTAAGGACTAATTAACAAGAAGCAGTTGTATAATTCTTAATGGGTAACTTGATGCTCCTTATCCACCAATCCTCATGATTGTATACGCAGTGTCTGTATTGTCTGAGGGGAGAAATCAGTAGATGCATGAAACCTGTTCTTTCAAGGAAGACAAGTAACCAGTTTCAATTCTCTCCTTGAAAAGTGCAAGTTTAGGTGGTGTAAATGTGAGATGTTTCTCTTTGCAAGTCTCCTAAGAGAATTCATTTAACATATTTGAAAAACAAGAGGGAATTTATCTTGGTGCTGTTAAACATGTTCTGCTCTGATGTTGTAAATCATATGGATTACTGGGAGGTCAAGTGCATCCTAGCTACTGAACAGGAGATGTGTGAAGCTTTATCAGAGTACCACCTCATGAAGTTGGAGCTGGGTTGATGCTTAACTATGAGGCAAAAGCCTCCACTTCCCTTGTAGTAGAACTTTCTAGGATTCAGCTGCCACAGGGTGGGAAGAGGGTGGTAGTGAGTCGTGACACAGGAACACGAGCTATAAAGCAGGCTGCAGTGAGCCTTCAAGGTGGCCACACAGCACCCTCGCTGACTAGGGCCTCTCCTCATCTGACATACAAGGTAAGACATTGCACTCAAGCTAAGAAGTAGCAGCCTTGAGATAAAAATGCTTTTTACAGATGGAAAAGAAATTAGGGAAGCATTAGAAGTGATAAAGTGCTTGTGGGGTGAGGGGTTGTTGCACAGCTATGACAGTTTCCCCTGTTGCTTTTTGGACATGGGACATTGCCAGGCTTTGAGCTTTCAGTTGTATTTCAGAATGCTTCTGCCACCTTAATTCCTTCTGCCTTTGTTTCCCCAGAGGACTATAAGTGAGACCAGATCTCTTCCTCTTTCTGAGATTGGCACTCACCTGCTCCAGGCAATGAAAGCTGGCTATCCTGTCAACCTGGAGCGAGCAGGTTTGACTCCTGAAGTTAAAAAGATCATTTCTGATGTTATCCATAATCCTCCTATTGACTCAGGTGAGCATTACAGCCCTCATCTGAAGCTTCTCATGGCAGTGGTGTACTAATGAAGAGATTGCAAAATATCACAACTCTGGTACTCCTTTCACTAGCATCTATCACTTTTTTGGAAGACCCATGACAAAGCAGAGCATGGCAATGACAGTTGTTGCTTTCCTTCCAAGGTTGTGTTTCAAAATAGGGCAGTCAGGCCTCATTAAATATCAGAAGAGGGTATCACTCCACAGCATAGTGGAAGGATTTGTATTGCTCTGGAAAAGACCCAGGCACTGCTCTTAAATGTGTACTTACTCAAGTGGAAGTCAGGCAAGCTGAAAGAAATCAGCCTGGTGGCGTCTTCCCATGTGCAATGGCATCTGTGAACAATATGCTGAATAAGAGTAGTAGAATTTCCTTGGGGAAAAGTCTCCAAGATGATGCTTATTTACGAGGATAAGTCTGGAAAATCACGGTGCTGTGGGCTGGTGCTGTTGGCTAATTCAGGGGCTCAAGACAGCCATGTACTTGTGGCTCTGCTCATGGGGGACTTAAAGTTCAGCCTTGCCCTCAGAGCTGAACTTGTTAAGCTGGCTGAACTTTCTGACTTTCTAGCTTCGTGACTCCTGTCCTATTGTGGGTGATCGTATCCTTTCAGCAGCAGTTACAGGCCCAGCCAGATTCTCTGCTTACTTCGTTAAACCTGCAAGTTTAACTCTGCAAGTTTAGCTCTGCAAGTTGTCCATTCCAGCATAACAGAAGATGGGAGGCTATTCAGCCTGAGTTAAAACAGCCTTCCTCTCAAGAGAAAATAGTTGATAGGAGATGCAGGTTAGAAGCAGGCTGATTATAACATTTTAGACTAAACTTGAGGGTGGTAAGTTTGTGCAAATGTGAGGTCGTGGGATAAATCTCCCCCTCATTCTGGTTTCTTATGATACAAACCTATGGATTAAGTTTCACTTCTTCTAAGGCTTTCCATGCCTTCATCTGTTTGTGCTTTAATGAGGGAAAACTGATGCTTTACAACATAAAACTATGAATGAGAGAAAGGACAATTTTTTTTAATAAATAAATTATATTTATATTTTTTCCAAGACACCACCAAAATTCAAGCAATTAGAACGCTTGTTCCTGCAAATATTGAACTGTATCTCATCCAGATGGCTATTGCATTATTGGAGAAAGAGAATGGAAATAAGGCTCAGCGTGGTTCAGGTGCCAAAAGGGTGTTGGTATGGTCGGATGGGCAGCAGGAAAAAAGAGGAGCAGATCAAGCAAGCAAGGAAGATGCTTTGTGGAGTGAAAAAAAGGTTAGTAAAAGAAGCTACAAAAACAGTTTTGTTTAAAAAAAACAAACAAAACAAAAAAAAACTTTTTCCTTTGTAGGAGCAGGCCAAAAGCTGTTTGTTGCTGTTTGCAGTAGTGTTTGGCATTTGCATCTTCCCAATTCACCTTTTCCTGAGCTCTGGATAAGAGTCTTGCTCCCTTCTGAGACAGGACCAGAAAGTTCCTCCTGCAAAGTGTTGGCCTAGGAAGAGGGCTGTCTCTGTGCATCCCAGCTGTGGTCTGCTCAATGTCACTTCAGTTGATCTCTTCCTGTGTGGTACTCTTAGCTCACATCTGCTCTAGTAGGTACTGGATGCGCAACCTGGGAAAGATCAGATACCCAGTGGTCCCACTGCTGTAGACTGCCACAAGTGCAGCTTAATAATGGCCTCAGAATAAGGATGAACACTTTCTGCTGTTGTTCAGCCCTTCAGAAAGTAGATACAAAACGTTCCCTATATAAACAAAGGATTTCTCAGTAGCTGGGACAGTGGAAGAAAACTGAATTCATATTTCTACCTGGTATGAGAGGCTTTGGTAATCTTGACCCTTTAGAGACAGAGTCTACGTTCTGCTCTCACCTTGCTTAAATGACCCAATGATTGATGTGATGTGGGAAGAGTGATTGTTTGTCTAGAAAGCTCAAAGATACCAGGGGAGCTGAAACAGGAAAAAGCTAAGGGCAACACCTGCCAGAGTTGTTTGACAGCCCTTCATGGGCGCCTCTGTGTAGCTGTGATAACATAAAAAGTGTTGTGCCCAGTGTCTGAGTCTTTGGGAGGAGTTTTCTTTAGGAGAAGGAAATACAGAGCTCTCTACTGCAGTTTGAGGAAGGCTAGACAAGCCTTCTAAGCCCTAGGGTGGCCTCTCAGCATCCCCACAAGTCTCTGAAAGTCCAGCTCAGCATCTTGTACAAAAAGCTGCCCTCCACTGAGTAGCTCAAGGTGGGAACAGTAGAAGGAAATTCCTAACTGTAAATCCTCTTGCTGCCTGTACTAGGATTTCACGTCTGTTCCTTACAGGGTTTTGGGATGCCTTCTTTAACTTGGGCTCAAATAATTTTTGGAGCCTTGCCATTTTGCTGAATTGATTGCTTCTTGCCTTCGTGAGCACTATTTTGTTCCTAAAATATTAGTGTCTGAGCCTTTTTTTCCCCTGAAATTGATCTGGCAGTCCATTTGCATTAGCTGTAACTATACTTCATTTTCTGTTGCTGTTGGAGCTAATAACAGGAATGACATGCTATTAGAGATCAAATTAATGTACCAATGAGTAGACTGCAAATCTAAATGCTAATCAAAATAGACTTCATTCCCTTCTCTTACAGAAGATATCTGTGTTCAGACAATATCCTTGTTCCAATAACTGTAGCAAACAGCTTTTAAAACTGCTAATGGGAGACTGAGATGTACACTTGATGCAAAAATCTAAGCTTTAGCTTTTTCAACCAGTGACCAATAGGTATTACAGAGAAATCAGGAGTTAATACCTCTGTGCCTTCAACCCCATTTTCACCTATCACCTTTGCTTGAAAACATATCTGAAAATACAGTACTTGAAATGGAAGCAAGTATTTCAAGTCCTTGGAGCCACTGGAACAGAGGAAGAATTCTTTTCCACTACAAATGTCCTGGTCAAACCACAACAGGGGAAAAAAAAAAAAAAAAAAAAACACCTAAGTAAAACTTGCAGTTCCTATAATTGAAATTAATGCATTTCACTTTTTCAAGTTTTATTTTGGTTAAATGGATAAGAAATAGTTACAGATCTCATTCAACAGAGGTGTTGAACTCCTGTTTATAATTACAGGCTAACTAATTTCCCCCTTTAAAAAAAAAAAAAAAAAAGACTCAGCCTTTCTACTGAATGTAGTTATTGCTTTAATGCATGTAACAGCCTGCTTCATTCCTGTCATATGCAAAGGCACAGAGCACAGATGACACCCAGCCAGGTGACAGGGGTGCAGCAGGCCACACGAAGCCCATCGCATTGGCCTCTTGGAACCAGCCAGCCCTCAATCCTGAGGAGGAGGAACTGTTTTCTGACTCTCAGCCAAAGGTGAGGTTGCTTTGTGCCAGAAACAAAGTCCAGATTTGGTAATTTTGTTGATTATCTTAAACCAAAATCCTGGCTTCTGTTTGGGTTCTTTCCTGTGCCTAGAACTGCAAACTTTTTTCTGCTAATATGCTTGACGTGGATGCCCCTTGTGTTGTCCTTGATGTGCCTGAATCCGATGTGCCTATGCACTTCTACAGCAGCAGCCTGCTTCAGGAATTTTTTTCCCTAGAAGATCTTGCCAGCCCCCTAGTGGCAGATGCTCCCAATACCTTAGGAGGACATCTGGCTCCCTTTCTTCTACTAGGTTGCGTGAGATTGGTTTCTGGTCACACTGAGGATTTCTGTGTTGATGTTCATATGAACAAGCTGTATGAGCATACAGCTGGTGTTTCTCTAAAGGAAGGTCACATGGCTCTGAGCAGCACCACTTGCTGTACAATTTGCCTCAGTTTCTGGTTTGAGGCTAGGAATTGCATGTGAACACAAAACCTGATGCAGACAAATCCATTGTTTGTGGTCTGGTCGTTTATCTCCATCTATGAGCTAAATTGTTAGGTAGTTATAATCTGTAACAGCACAGCAGCATCTTATCTGAAGCACTAAACATATTAGAACATTATTTCTGTTTCCTGATCATGGCTTCAGAGAGCTTCAGGAACATCAATTCTGAGTAAATTGCCTTTGTTCTCAACCAGGAACAGTGTAATGGTGTGTGTACCCTTCATTCTTCACCTGAGCATGTGCTGAGAGCTCTGGTGTTGTGCATGCACCTCTTGTTCTAGGCTCTGCAGCAGCCTGTCTTCTGGCTGTACATCAGTCCTCCTGGTGCATTTCCCGAGGGCAGCTCAGCTGCAGTCTTGAGATGAACATCTCAACAGTTTGGTCCTTCCATTATTTAAAAAATGAAGGGTGAGCAGAAACACATTTATCTCTTGGCTGAGAGCTATTACTGGAATTCATGCTTTATGTTGCTGTGGCATCTTTCCCATCACTGCAAGATGCCTCCAGCAGTCACTAAGTGCAGCGTGTTCACACTGTCCTCCATGAGTTCTGCAAAGCTGATGACTTTCTTGTGGAGGAAAAGGAACCTTGCACAGCTGGTGGCAGGTGCCCACAGTGCCACTGGTGGCTTTCAGCCCCTTTTTCTCAAGCAGTCATTAGGGGAGGTAGCTGATACTGCTGCTCCATTACCAATTTGGGGCGCCCAGGTTTGTCGTCTTGGGTGTGTTTGACAGATTTTTGTTTAAAGGCAATTCTTGAGGATCAGGATAAAAATTCTAAAGCTGTGCCAGCATGCTTTGGTGCAGGTCTAGTGGTTTTCTTGGGCCTGCCTAACATTTCCATGGCACGACGTGATTTATGACTTGAAAAAGGTTCTGGACATCAGGGCTACAGACATAAGCTGTCCTGGGGCAGTGTTAGGTGTTAATACCTCTTGAATAGCATGGTTTGGGGTGCAGAACTGTAAGTTAGAATGACATGTAAAAAAAATAAAAGCTTTTTAATTTTTTGTATCACCTTTTCCTTTTTGCAGGGTTCACAGCCCCCTTGTAAGAGGAAGGTGCCTGCATGGTTTGAAGCCCCAACAGCCCCTGTTGTGCCTGTGCCCCAGATCAAGAAACCCAAAGCGGACACAAGAAAAGGAATCTTTAACTGAAGCTTTTATTTTTTATTTTCTGTAACAGGTGTACGTGTACGAAGGGTAGATGCACTGTGACAGAAATGACTTTATACGGAGCAATACTTTATATGTAGCACTTGGATCTATGCCTTTTTTTCACTGTGTGAAAGTCCTTTATTAAAAAAAAAATCTGATTAAAAATAAAAATCACGTGTGGGATACGAAGTTTAAAAACAAAAAAGGGGGGGGGGAGGGGGCTCGGTAATGGCGGCCACCGAGCGCGCGTCGCCATAGCAACGAGCGGCCGCCCCGCTTCCGGGGTGGGGTTGTCGCGGGGGCCGCCGGGAGGGCGGCGATGCCCAATAGGCGGCGAGCGGCCTGCGCCTCGCGCCGCGGCGGGCGGGTGAGGGAGCGCGCGGGGCGGCGGTTGGGCGGGGGGACAAAATGGCGGCTCCCCGCTGAGGGGAGCCTGAGGGGAGCCTGAGGGGAGCGGGGGTGAAGCCGGGGCTCGGGGCCGCCGGCAGTTGGCCGTGCCCCTACAGCGCCGCGCTGAGCCCGCTGCCCGCGCCCCTTGGTCTCCCCGCCGAGCAGAGCGATGGATCCCAGCCTGCTGAGGGAGCGGGAGCTGTTCAAGAAGCGAGCCCTCTCCACGCCGGCCGTAGAGAAGCGCCCAGCGCCATCTTCCGACTCCGCGGCCTCCAAGAAGAAGAAGGCGAAGGTAGAGCAGAGCGGCTCGTCCGGCTCCAAGCAGAGCGCAGGTCGGTGCGAGTGGGCTGCGCCGCGCTGCTCGTGTGCGTTCGGCCTTTGTGCTGTAATCAGCTTTTCTCCTAAATTGTCGCTTTTTTACCAAGAAACGCGGTTGCACGATGTGAAAAACAAACTTTGGCTGCGCGGGTCAGGCCCCCTCCTGCCAGCTGCTGTTGCAGAGCGTCGCTTTGTGCCAGTGTGGGTGGCAGCGAATGCCAGGCCCCTGGGGCCTTCTGGCAAGGGGTCCTTGTGAAAACTTAATTCTGCCAGCCCCGAGCCAGGCTGCTGTGATGGGTCTTGTAATTTGTGCCGTGCCTGGCTGGCGTGCTGCGGCTAGCAGCCCGTCTCGTTTTACTCGGGAACTAATCTCGGCTCGCAAACACGGCTGTAGGTATCTGCCTGCCTGAGGAGTTGGCTCGTTTCCCTGGGGTGGAGGTGCTGACAAAGTGCCTCTCGAAACCAAACGAGTTCATAAAGCAGCACCCAAAGAGTGCGAGCAGCTGAGAGGCGCAGCAGGGAGAGGGCTTGTGTGCGCACAGCAGCCTGCTCTGTGTTTGCTTTTATGGTGTGAGAAGAGTAATTTGAGGGGCTTGTGGATATTCTCTGCAAGCCCTGGCACAGTTCTCTATGCACCCTGTTGGGCAAAGGGGAGGTCAGGAATTACTAAGATACAAAGTAATGCTGTTGTGTAACCCCCTTGCAGGCTTGTGTTTTGAGTGCCACCTGTGGCTCACTTCTAAACTCTAAATGAAACAATACAACTAAAAAGAGCAGTGAAAAATGTCACTGATAGGAGGAGTGGAGCATCTTCTGTCCAAGAAGAAGAGTAGCAAATTTTTCTGACTTTGGTTTTCAGAGCCCCTCAGGGCACCAAATAACATTTAAAATAAATCAGAGCAGGGTAGGTTTCCACTGCCTCTTTGCCACGCTGTCCTCTCCAAATAAAATCAAACTGTATGTTGGGATATCCTAAAGTGTGCATCCAGAGGGAGGGGGGTTTACTGGGAAAGAGTGATGGGCAGGCTGTCCAAGTGTGGCTCGTCTGGAGGATTTGGGTAGCTGCGTGACCAAGCAGCAGCATAAATAGAGAAAGTGTCGTTTTGTTTCTGTGGTTTTGTGGGGTGGGTATTTCTGAGAGTGCTTTTGCAGCTGTCAGATGGTGAGCTTACACAGATAAGAACGTGTGGCTGTGAGGAAATGCACTTTGTTTTTATGGTGCTGGCTTCATTCCAAACAGTATCAGAAAGCTTTCAAGATTTTTCTAACATCTTTATGCACGATGAGTTCAGTCTCCGTTCAGTTTTCCCTGTGGAGTATTTACTAGCTGCTGCAGAAGCAGCAAGGGTGGAAGTAAAGTACTGGAGAGTGAGCAAAGCAGCTCTTTCCCTTCTGTTCTTAGGAGCTGGTTCAGAACAAGCATGCTGAGGGGCAAATGACAGAATGGGCCAGACAGCCACAGGCAACACACGCGTTGCTCTGTGACGCTGCAAAGTCCTTTGCCTAAAACCCCATTTTTTATTTGAATTGCCAGATTGCTAGGGGCCTGTTGCGATATACATGTGGCAGAGGGGGGCCTTGGGGAGGTGGAGTAAAAAGTGATGTCGGAGAATCCCTGAACCCCTGAAGAAATGAAAATTAAGAGGGTTGTGTACAGTTTTATTGTGTGGTGGCCACAGAGATGATAAATAATATTCCAGTGGTTGTGTGTGAGCATCGATAGCCCCTGGGTAGGCAGAGCCTGCAAGTTCTCCATCATTCTGTCATTCTAGGACTCAGAGAACCTGCCCTTGACTCTTTTTTGGGATGGAGGGGCACTGAGACCATGCCAATCCTTGAGTGACCACATGGGTAAATCTAGCACGTGTCTGCGGATTTGTTGTGAGCTTTCCAGTGAGAATAGTTGTTACCATAGTTGTCTGAAATTATTATGCGAACAAGTTACTTGACAAATTCAAAGCTGCCTTGTTTATTCAGTTCAGAATCGTAACAGGAAAATAAAGGAAATAGATCACATCTGTTTATTTCTTTTTATTGATCAACAGTTAAGTCTTTCTCTTGAGACCTTTGTGGCAGTGATCCTGGCCATCAAGAGCTGAAATCTCTGGGAGCTGTTCCACAGCCTTGCCTCTCTGCCTTAGTTCGCCTGAGGGGAAGAATTCTCCTGAGGCTGGAGGGCTGCGCAAGGGGAGATTCTTGTCTTCTGCTCCTTGTGCAGACACACAGCTTCCTGTGAAAACGCTTAGCTGGAGCGGGTCCCAAGACTTCTCCCCGCGTGTGCCTCCTGGGAGGGCACGAGGACACGAAGCTGGTGCAACTGGCTGCATGCATGGCGCTGGGCAGGGGAGCTGCCGGTGGAAAGCAGTCCTGTTGTGTTTGGAGCGGGTGCCTTCAGGAAAGAGGCGCATTAGTCCAGCGTGTCCCAGCGGCTCCCCTTGCCTCTCGTGAGCAGGACAGCAGGCTGCCAAATGCGCAGCTCCCCGGTCCAGAGGACATCACAAACGGGACTTTCGGCGCGTGTCTGGGGGTGACTCCTCGATTGTCTCGTAGCTGGGGCATCAGCTTCTCTTAATTGTGCTTGTAGTTTGATCGTAGCTAGAAGCATTCTCTGCGTACAAGGCTGACGCCGTTCGGTCTTGCCAGTAGTTAGCGTGTGGGGGGTGAATGTTTGCAGTGATAGTGGTGTCGTTTGTGACTGAGGAAGGGAGAGTGCTCTTCCAGATGAATCAACGGAGCTTCTCGGTCAGTAGTGGTCTGGGTACCCTCTGATGTGGGTCAAATCAGCAAGTCCTCTAGTGTGTGTGCCCACATCTTGTGTTGCTGAGGCATGTGAAACCTGAGAGGGATTTCATCAAAAAAAGCTTTATCAGAAAAGTTTATCGTTACAGGTACTGGCCGTGGCACGGAGGTATTACTAGCAGGGATAAAACTGCAGGACTGGTGTTGTAGCTTACTTGTTCGTTTGGCCGTTAGGTGGGCTTTATTTCCCTAATGCCAGGAGCATTATTTGGGTTTTATATAGTTAAATATCTTGTCCCACACCTAGCTTCGGTCTGGTTGGGACATTTCTCACTGGCTTGCTTTTCTCTGTGTGTCCAGCAGTGAGAGACTCGGGTCATACAGAGGGCTACGCATTTGGGCGTCATCATTACAGCTGTAATTTGTAAAGGCAAAACTTTCCTCTTTTAAAAACTGTAGATGCCACGCAGCACAGAAGGATGATTTGGTGAGCTAGAGGCAAAAGCTGATGGTGCAGGTTTTCTGCGGTCGGTTTGTGAGAAAGAGAGGCGTGAGGGGTCCAACTCTGGGATGCGTCCGCAGGCTGATGAACTTCTCTGAGGGTCTCTTGTGCAAAACAAAGCCACGTCTTGCTGCTCATCCATCCCACCATCTCTAGTGCGGGGGTTATCGTGATGTGGCCTCCTCTGTGAGGCGTGTGGCCACCTGCAAGCTGCGTGCTGGCTGGGAGGGGATGTCCTCAGTGAGGGGAGATCTGCAGCCTGCGCTGCGTTGTGGCAAGGACTCGGTCAGCTGCAGTTCAGCTTTGAAAAGCTGAGGTGGGACTGACACGTCCAGCACTTCAGGTTCCCTGTAGCGTCACAGGTGGCACAGCAGCCTGGGGACAGAAAGGTGACCCTGATTCTTCTAGACCACAGTCCTAATTCAGTGTGCTTTTGGGGAAATAATGGGAGTTACGGTACTGCAGTGTCTTGACACCCAGAAGCTGTTCAACAGAATATGAAGGAAGGGAAGAGCACTTCTCTGGAACTGGAGAAGGGAGGGAGAAGGGGTCAAATTGTACCACAGGAGGCTAGCAAAGGCTATTTTAGGGATGGCTTTCATGCTGGCTTGCTTTCCCCCCACCATCCTATTTTTTTTAGAGCAAGGAACCTGTAGTAAAAGCTGCCAAAGGCAAGAACTCACACGAGCCCCCCCCCCGTCTCATGGGATCTCTTGCCTTTAAACCCTGATGCCTCCTATCTCTCTTCCCCTCATCCCTTACAAGTCTGTCTTGTCCCTGTATGGCTGGCCTCAGGGGGAGGCCAGTGCTGTGCCGTTGTGCTCTGATCACGTTGCTGAGCATTTCTACAAATGATTTTTTCCAGTTAAGCAGCATCGCTTTATGCATGTTAAGCAGCGTTTGTTCGTTCAGGTAGACAAGGACCTACTCTAGTAACTCAACATGAACAACAGAAATGCATTTAAAAACAAAGAAATTTTCTTCCACCATTACATCGCAACAGATCATCCTTTTGCTAAGCACTCAGAACGCCTTTGCTAATTGTTCAAGTTCACATCCAGAGATGAAATGGGAGCTGCTGCTATTACATTTAAGTCCAAAAGAAACGAAAAAACACATGGGACTTGCTCGTTGGTAAGGTACAAGAGGATTTGTTCAAGGTGTTAAACGTTGTTCAAGTGCTGATGATCAGTCCTTCCTACACCACCTCTGTTTCGCGCTTTCTGAAGCTGTTCATCATCGCTCTAACAGGGTTGGGCTCGTTCTCCAAGTCTTTCATAGTTTTGTTTTTCACACAGCAGCAACAGTCTAGCAGTTCGTAGAGGAATGCCAGCACCACCAGAGAGACGACAGTAAAGATGAATATGATCAGAATAACAAAGCAGGCAGTGTTCCAGTTATCGTGGAAGGGGTAAATTTTTTGCACTTGGAAGCCCAGGTACTGGTAGATGGAGGTGGTCTCGTTCCAGTGAGTGGCGTTGAGGGTTGCCATTCTCGCAGAGTTGCCTTAACGTATTCCCTGTCACAGATTTGGGGGCTGAAACAGAAAACAAAGCTGTTGAGGACTCTGTTGATCAAGAATATACTGTGATTTTTATCGCAAACTGGAAGAACTTTGTCTCAGACTGTGTCTCACACCGCCTACAGTACATGGATTGTTGAATGGGCTGATTTGCTCACAAAAGTATCAGACCAAAATGTAAACTTTGTGACTTGTCTGGAACATTTGGTTCTGTGTTTCTGTTCCCTACATGCACGAAGTATGTAAGTTACTCTGAACTTAGTGTTGTTTCTTTATTTCAAGTACCGACAAAGAGGTTACAAAGAGAATTTGAAGGTGTACAGTGGTTTCAACAACCTGTCTGCCCTTACTTCTGAGGCTTAGTACTTCATGCCATGAAAGCCTGCAGCCTTCTTTTGGCATTCCTGGAAAAATAGGAGATCCTTTTGCCATCTCCCATAGCTGAGTGCTTCGGGCAACTTTCTATATGTTAATATTGTTTGAGTTTGTTTGCTTGTTTGGTTGTTTGGTGTTGGTTGGTGGGTTCCCTATTTTGCATAGAGAAAGAAAGCTTTTTAAAGAACAGATATATGTAACTATCTTGGAGGATTTTTCCAGAGAATGGGGCTGAGCTGTCCCTTGTCCTTCTAGTTCACAAATACAATCCTGGTTTCTGAAAACTCAGTTTGGATTTGCCTGTTAGTGCAGACTCATTAACACTGCAAAACCTTTTTGACCTAAGAAGGCCGGTCTTGCTGAGGTGTTCATTCCCCAGCTGTGCCTGATGTTGGTTATCTGGAAGTCTCAGTCCATTCGTGGCCATTAGGAGAGGCAGAAGGAACACCCAACCCAACCCTTCCTGAGCTCTGCCTTCTTATTCTCAGCTGCCTTCTCTGCTTAGCCACAAGGACAGGATCCTGTCTTGCCAAGCACTATGTGCTTGGACCAGGAGAAGATAAGGCTGCATTGTGGTGTGGGGGAGAGAAAGTGAGAAGTTGGTTTCAGCTTTGGCATGAGTGATATTGCCATCAAGGCATGCAGTTTTAGAAGGGCTTCACAGTTGTGTGTCTCTTTTTTGGTTTCCTTCTTTCTCTGGCTTTGTCTCCCAAAACCGAAGGAGCTTACACTACTTCTGGTGTATAGTCTATTATGTAATAAAAAATATACCTGAGGAGCTACAGTAACTCCTGGTTATCTGGCCTAGCATACTGGAGGATGCTGTAGTGATCTTTGGGTCCCTCAGGCAACTATTTCTTTCTGTGGAGTCCTATTTCCATGCATCAATGAAAGATTTTTGCTTTGAACAGAAAGCAAAAAGTAAAAATGTTTCTATATTTGTTACAAAATAGTCCTGGCTACCCACATTTAGTTCAATTTCATTCAGTAATTAAAGCTACAGAACCAAGGGGCAACACCAGTGTTTTGTTTATTAAGCTGTGCTCACAGATAATGCTTTAATGAACCTTGCATAGCCCAGAAATAATTCTGCAATCAGCCTGTTTAGCAAGTGACAACCAGAAAATGCCTAAATAAACAAGAAGCAGCAAAGGAGAAGTGTTGATGGAGTCTGCTGAAAAAGGTTGCTTAAAGCAGTTCAATCATCTCTCCTTATTTAATAATAAAATAAATGGTGTTAATGAAAACCAGAACGATGCAGCCAAGCCAGCTTGCCATGCACATCTAATTTTAATCATTCAACTGCTGTACATTTTGCTCTTTATCCTTCCATCTCTTTATCCTTCCATCTTTGCTGGAGTTAATTGAAACAGACCAGCTTTGTCAGTGAAACTAGCATTTGATGTTTACTGGAGGAGTTGCAGCAATTTATCCTTTCTTCTGTTACATTTGTAATTGAATGGACAAATTTGTAAATGAATGCACAAAGTAAGACTGAAATGGATAGAATGAATTAATCTTATTTTATATATATACACAAAAGTTTGTAGAGCAAATCCAAGCTAAAAACACCAGTGAGTTGAGTTGGGTCTGGCTTTGAGAGACAGGTTTGGTTTGGCCATGGCCTAGGCAGGATGCTCAGCTGGCGTGTTTCACAGGGGATGGAGCTAAATTCAAAGGAGTTCTTGGAGGGGTGGTCTGAGGAATTGAAAATTGGTAAGAGAGGAGGCTGATTAAAAGGATTTGGAGTCACTTTTGAGGGATAACTAACACAAGCAAGATTTCAATGTATATTTTAAATGGCAAGAGGATATCCTTGGAAGAACGGAGGGGATTTTTGTTTTGATCCTTTTGAACAGATTTCTGAGATGGGATTTTTTTGGCATCATTACTGATAAATTCGCTCACTCTGTAAACACCAGGTACAACAATTATGTTTTTCTATTGATCAGAAATACCATATTTTCAGCAGTATCAATGGAAATCAAGCTCTGGGACTACCAGAGGGGCTGGGCATGATGCCCAGCCACCGGCCCTGGAGGCGAGAGGAGAGGAGCTGCTCCTGCAGGGCTGGCTGCTGCCACCATTAGGGCTCTGCCTGCGTACCTGGGGAGGCTGCGCTGAACTGAACAGCTGAGCTGGTGCTCCTCCAGGGTGGTGGTCAGCTCAGGCTTGGCTGGGGCAAGGCAGGCACGTAGCAGCTCCTGGCTGTCATCGCTGCTGCGCCAGACCGGAGTAGCACGATTTAAATTGGTACTGTAAGCCAGGCTGATCTGCATGCAGAATTGAGTGAGTTAAATGTTTGATGAACAGGGTTCTCTAATATCTAGGTGAGGATTTAATGTAAAAGTATCCTCCTTCCCAGGTGCTGCAGGAAAGCAGCTTTATTTGAAATCATATTCATGGAGCAGAGGGAAATGACTGGCAAAAAATCATTTCAGTGCAGTATGGGGGAAGTCCTGTTCGAGAAACCACCAAATAGACATCTTGGGGTTATGGCATGTACAAATCAGCCGGATTATAACCTCTTTGTGTTGGATTGATCAGTGCTGTGATATTTACAATGCTAATAATACGCAAAGGGGTTTTCTTCCTACCCTAACAGACCGGTTTCTGGAACACGTTTTTAGCACATCCATGAACACGCATCTGTTTTAGCCGGTGTAATTGATGAGGTTTACAGAATACCCTCCTGGGAGGTACATTCTCAGATTTCAGCTTTAACAGGCTATTTTAATTTTTTAAGGAACATCCTTTTTCTGTTGTTTCTGCAAGACCACACGGAATCAGTTATAAGGAAGTGAGGCTGCAGAAAACAAGCGGCCTCCCCAGTAAGCATCAAATCCATTTTGTTTACTGAATCTTGGCTCATTGTGTTAGCTTTTCTGTAAGATGGAGCGGTCATCAATTTTCCATTAGCACACAGATGGTGAAAGTGCCTGCCTGATAGTGCAAGACGAGAGCTCCTCTGTGTTCAGCAGAATAAAATCCTGCTACATCTAGAGAAAAATCACCCTGATCCTAGGAAGCTTTTTACAGCCTTGCATGTTACAGGCATATTTTCCTGCAGGCATCAAGACAAACCGAAGACAACGTTAGAAAATGATGCACACCTACCTCTTGTCTGAAAGGATGCTGAAAGAGCGCCGTGCCGTTCCCTGTTTTAACGCAGCCTATGGCACAGCTAAGATGGAGCTTCCCTGCGATTGGCCAGCGCATGGTGCTGCTGACAACTTCCTTTGTGCTCATTTGCATCAAGCCCTCAACCCCGGGAGGAAATCATTCACAAATCCCACTTCTGCTGCCCAGATGAGGAAGCTGCCTCTCCCCGACTCGTTATTTTCGGGATGTTTTTGTGCGTGTCAGGCTCGGTAGCTGAGGAGCACACGGGGGCGCGCTGCTGGCCCTGCTCTGCGCTGGAAGGCAGCCGGTCAGAGCGTGACGTTGGAAGCGCTCACATCCGCAGGCTCCAGCCTCGCAGCGTGCTGGACTGACTTGTCAGGAGCTGTGGCGTGCCGTAGCCAGGCCGATTAAACGGGATAATCTCCTTGATGCAATTGACAGAACAAATACGTGCTAAGTCGCCTTAGCTGTTTGTTCTGGCTCTTGATTTTTATTTTAGTTGCTTCAGACCTCCCGTTACACGTTGCAAAATTTCCTTCAGATGAATTTTTAATGTTAAAAGGGGATCCTGTGGGGAAAAATCCCCAAAGGCTAGACTTCTAGGGGGAGCTGGCTTTTGTTCTTCTCACTTAATTTGGTAACCAGAATAAAATGTTCTTATGGAGCTGGAGTTATGCTGATTGTCCTGTGTTAATTTTAGAATTGTTACATGGCAGTGTAATGCCTCTAATACAGCGTCGTGTAATCGCTTGGGAATTAGCAGTTGCCAAGTTTTAGATTTGACATGCTTTGCTTCTGCATTAGCCTTTTACTACACTAGCACCAGTTTCCATCTGAGCTTTCACCAAAATTACCAGAAGTAGACTTGTTTGAAAGCTGACTACATCCAAAATTCCCCCTTCATGCTGCCTTATATTAACAGCTTACAGATCAACAAAGAAGAAGGCTGACATGCTGTGGGAGAGATTAACAAAATTCAGCTGAACCACAGTGACTTTGGAAAACTAATTTGCAATTTCCTTGTAACTTAACAAGGGAATCTACATTTAACCACAGCAAACAGCATGGCAAAGACTTTGCTTAGCAGCTCTGCCTGGTACCCACTGCAGGCTCTGTCTCAGCTAAGGCATTTCTACTGTTCTTCCTGTCCCTCAACCTATTTTTCACAGAAGTAACAGGAACTCAGTATCTCTGAGATCTCTACTGTTCAGTCAAATTTAATTTGAAATCAATGATGGATTTTAAAAACTCCTGTGATGACAAAGAGGGGACTTTTTTTCTGGAACAGTTGAAATTCTGAAAAGCTGTTGCTCTGAAGTTTGAGCAACATTATGCTGGTAATGGACCTGTGGCTTTTGGTAGTGGTTTGTGGATATTCCTATTTAATGTACCATGTTATGCAGTTAATAAAACTCATTAGCTCTGCCTTGCAAGAATTTTTGAAACTTTATGCAGTAACAGACCTCGTGACACGTTCAGATAGAGCCAGACCTGGCAGCAGAGGGGATGCTGAATTGTTGTTTCGGTGGTGCAGCACACCAAGTGAAGCAATTTGAATTTATGATTTTTTGATAAGATCTCCCCTAGAGCTGCTTTCAAAATAAACAAACTGAAAACCAAGCCCATGACAACAAACACAACCTTACTTTACTTGGGGTGTGCTAACTGAAATAAGTGAAGCTTTCTGCTCCTACTCAGCATTATGAAGCTATCAGCAGCGATAATCGTGGGGCACAGATGAAGTGCGTTACTTCAGCATGAATTAAGGTAGCATAAATGATTATGGTATGTTAAACCACAGAATTAAACATGTGCTCTTAGGGTATTAACGCTGCCGTTGCTTGCTGTTTTCTTAAAGCTCAAGTCCCAGTACCTTCGTGTTTATGGAGGTCTGCTCAGAAGTGTTCCACACCCAGTGTGCTTACAACACTGAGCCCCCCGTGGGTGACTGTGCCTGGAACACGCGTTTCTGTTCATCACTGTGCTCCTGAGGGGCTGTGGAACTAGAGGGGGTCAAGGTGTTGTTGAAACCATCATTTTATTTATTATTTATTTATTCTCCTGTTGCAGATCACAGCAATGGATCATTTAACCTGAAAGCCCTTTCAGGAGGCTCTGGCTACAAGTTTGGAGTCCTTGCTAAGATAGTGAATTACATGAAGGTACAGCAGTTTGATGTAAAACTATACTGTTTGGAAATGCTTTTGTTACTTGTTCTCCTCTGGTAGCTAAATGATGCTGAATGTTTCAGTCCAAAATTCTTTTACTGAATTTTAAGAAACTAGTTTGTTAAATTTAAAACGCTCTCTGTAAACAAAGCGTCCAGTATATTGTTTCCTTACTGGAATCCCAATTATTCCAGTAAGGAAATTATTCCAACCTAGAACCAGGAAAAAGGTTTTTATTTGCATTAGAAATAGGAATTGGAAGATGTTGCCAACTTTTAGCAATCATGAGCTATTTAGCAAAGTAACTTGTAATTTGGTGCTTGACAAATGATTTTGTCCTCGATCTCAGCTGGTACTAACATTTTTTTTCCTTGTTCTCAAAAACCCTGCGTTATCCCACTTTTACAAAAGTTGTAAATTATACTTTTTAATGCTTTTTTAATGCCTTTTTAATGCTTTCTATGCCATTTTTGTTACTTTACGATAGTTGAGTTGCTAAATAAAGGAGTACAAATCACTGATAGAGGCTGTTCACTTTTCCAGACTCGGCACCAGCGTGGTGATACACATCCATTAACCCTAGAAGAGATTTTGGATGAAACACAGCATTTAGATATTGGACTCAAACAGAAGCAATGGTTAATGAGCGAGGTAAAGAAAAGTTTAGATTTTAATAAGAGATCAAAGGATAATGATAAACCTGAACCGTACAGATTTATTTAATTACAGACTGTATAAGTATAAAAGTTCTTTTTTGAGAAACTGCATTGATTCATGTTTCTGTCTTATGCCTCCTGCTATTGAAATAACTCTGAAATGAAAGCTCTTCCGACATTTTTAAGGAGCAGTTAGAATTACTGCACAAAGAGTAAGTTTTATGTCCAGTGAATTTATTCGTTACTAATTTTATATACTCAAATTGTTTTTCTCAAGGAATTTCTTCATAAAAAATCAAAGCAGAGAGTTCTTCCTGTGTCCAGGATGTTAAATTAACTGAACAAAAGGAGTTTGGCACAAAATTCATAGACTTCCAGTTCTTTGTGATTTACTGAAATGAAGAATTCTGATGCGAAATCCCTGTTTGCAATTGAGGGATCGCAAAGTTCATTAGTCTCACAGTATATGCTAGGTGTCCTTCCTACGGAGTTGTAACTTGGCACTATGTCCTTCTTCATGCTTAATTGATCTGAATGTCTTCATGGGATTTCAAGACAAATAAATCAACAAAAATAACCATATTTGGTATTTATACTTAATTGGTGTATCTGGCTTTGCTTGTATCGTATTTAAAATCCTTGCAACAAAGTAGTAAAGGCTGTTGGTGCATGGGGAAGAAATCTCTGTGTAGTGAAACTAGGCTGGTTTTAACTAATACAGCCTGTAGTGTTCCTTTGGTACCAGTGCTAATACTCTGGGGTACAGAAATCTCCAATCCCGCAATGCTGTTACCATGAAAACTAGGCTTCGTTGTAAACTTTGAAGGGTAGCTCCAGGTTATTTCTGTAATTAATCAGAATATCAAGTCTGTACCAAAAAGCTCTTCCCAGGAAGTTTACATAAAATTACCACCGAGTTGCTACTGGGTAAGAAAAGGTGAACGAATATCCCGCAGTGCCGTAGTTACCTTTTCTGTTACAGGCGTTTTCTCCCTCCTTTCTTCTTTCTGTGTCTCTTCTCTTTCTCCTTTCAGGGTCAGGCTGGCATCTGCAGAAGAAACTAAGTAGAGTTGCCCTCTGTTACAGGTGAACTTCCATTATGGTACTGGCTGCACAGCAAAACTGATTCGGAGCATATCTTAAATCATTTCAATTGTCCATGAGCTTCTGGTCAGCTTCACTCAAGCTGGCATCATAAGTAAAATCCTGCTGTGCAGGAGGTCTGCTCTTCTCAATTTCTTCTACAGCTGCTGGTGCCAATTGACAGCAGTTGGGGAAGACTGACTCCTGTTTTGTTCATCCCAGGGTAATGCCTTTCACATTCATAACATGCATATGACCTGATTTTGACATGCTGAGTTGTCTGTTTGCACTCTATATTCAGCCAAAGCACTTTTTTTTTTTTTTTTGCATTCCATCCTTTTTTTTTATTGTCCTTCCTTTCTCAAAAAGGAACACGTGCGGCTCTCTGCCGTAAGAGGCTTCATGGACCTTCAATCCCAAGGGCACTAAGTGAATGATGCTAAGCCTCCTCCTTTGGTGCTTTGTGCTTTACGTTGCGGTGAATTACGCCTGGGCTGGATCTAAGATCCAGGGGTTTAAAATCTGTTTCAATCTCAAACCTCCAAACTGGCAGCTCTAACGTGGCTGATGTGTTTGTAGCTGTTGAAAATCACAGTAGAAAAATGTACTAGTGTGCACTCTTTCTCAGGTTTTAAAATTGATGTTCCTATTACAGGCTCTAGTCAACAATCCGAAAATAGAAGTTGTAGATGGGAAGTATGCTTTCAAACCCAAGTACAACTTGAAAGATAAAAAGGCTCTGCTCAGGCTCCTGGACAAGCATGACCAGCGAGGGCTGGGAGGAATCCTTTTAGAAGATATTGAGGAAGGGCTACCCAATGCACAGAAAGCCATAAAGGTGAGTGAACCTGCTCTACTTAGGTTCTCAGAGAGGACACGGAGTCTAAGAGAGAATTTTGTCACGAGTTATTTCTGTTCTTTAGATAACTCAAAACCTATTTCAGAAGGTCGAATATTGTAGCTTTTTCTGGACATCATTCTTTACTTTCAGATTTGGCCTGATGTCTCAGCACAGCTGTCAAAGTTCTTTCCCCCAAAAGACGCTTGATCTCCCACAGTGCAACTGAAAGCATTTAGTGGTGCTTTTATCCCTTGATCTCAGCCCCCTGTATCTCATCTTTGCTTTATTAGTGCACTTATTGACAATGTCCCCTTTGGATGCTTTTTGTTGCAGGTTACTTTGCTGCTTCTCTGGTTGATCTTTTTGTAGCACAAATCTGGGTCTGTTGTTCATGTTGGAATCCCTGTGCTTAGAAATGAAGTGATTTTGAGTTCTTTTGTGTTTGTTTTCGAGGCTTTAGGGGACCAGATCATCTTTGTTAATCGCCCCGATAAGAAGAAAATTCTCTTCTACAATGATAAGAGTTGTCAGTTTACTGTGGATGAAGGTAGGTGTTTATTTACATCTGTTTCCATGATAGTTGATTTGCATTCATCTTATGCAGC